CCACCTTGCATTCGTGGAATAAATTCCTGCGGTAATTTTCATTAATAATGCTTCTCTGCTTGCTCTGTGTCTGCTCGATTTCCAGGGGGCCACAATGGCTATTTCCGACCATTCTGTCCAGCTTGGGGTGTGGGATGCGTCACCTGCCCTCTGTCTTCCATCATGTTTAGCCAGTGAAATGGGAAGTCACCGAGAGTTATCAAACCGTGTAATTTGATTTGTTTCTAGGTTTTTTTTTTCAAAGATTTATTTACTTATGCATACAAGAGCTGGGGTACAGGCCAGAGGTGCGGGGTGGAGGGTGAGAGGATTCACCAGAGACAGAGTGGGGAACAGAACAGGCAGACTGACCAAAGCACACTGCTGAGGGGAGCAGCGGGGAGACAGAAGAGGTCTGCTGCGCCATGTGGGTTGCTCCCTGGACGGCCTGGGGATCGGACTCGTGCTGCAGAGGCTGCGGACAGCTTCATAGGTTGCATCTCAATCCCTTGCGCCACCAGGGAGGCCCCTTGATTTGTTTTGAAAAAGCACTCTGGATACTTATGTTATCTAACTGTTGCTGCATAAGAAATTACCCCAAATGTATTGGCTTCCAGGAGCACCTCTTCATTCTCTCAGCGTTCCTAGGTCAGAAATGGGAAAGCGACTGCGCTGGGTGGTTCTAACTCAAGGTCTCTCACAAGCCTGCGGCCCATGTCGGACTTCGCTGAGAGTGGACACCGGCTGCCCAGTTCCCTCCCTGGCTGCTGCAGGAGGCCATAGTTCCCCACTGCACGCTTCTCTCCCTCGCACCACCCGTGACTTGTCCCCCACTAAGCGAGTGACCCAAGAGACAGCGTGGCCCGAGGGAAGTCAGTGTCTCCCCGGCCCTGGTCAGTCCACTCGTTAGAAGCGGCCAGCTGAGCTCAGGCCGCATGCCAGACGTGCGGACACCGGCCTCCTGCGATGGCCTGGTACTCGCTGGGTGATGGCAAGTGAGTCTCGCTGGGGGCGCAGAAAAGAAATGAAGGGACAGAAACTGCACACTGTCGGGGTCACCGCAACACAGCTGTGCCTGTGTGGTTTTCCTGATTCTCCCCCGTCCAGGCCTTCTAGGAAGAAGCTTAGCATCTCGAGTACATAAGTCAAGACATGCCGCTCTCCAGCTTAAGTCCCCACTGCCTGTTCTCCCCCTTGGGCCACCCCCGGCCATTCCTTACTCTCCTCCCTCCCTGCCCCCCGCAATGATCCCGCCGACCCTCTCAGCCGTGCTCAAAAGCCACTTCTTCCAAGAAATAGTCCCTAATCCTTTAAGCCAGAAATAAAATCTTCCCTTTTTGAATGTCAAGAGAACTTCATGAGCGCGCTGCTCGCAACAGGCGTCACTTCCCTGCCACATCATCCACACCTGGCAGGGCCTGCGGCCCGGGTCGCAGTCGCCTTGCTTCCTCCTTGGTGCCCAGGCTTCATCTGAAGTCCAGTAAGTGCTGGGTCATTTAACTTGCTGCATAAGGACACAAGGTACACCAAAAAAGAGAGGAGTTTTGCAAGCTTTGTGTTTTGCTTTGTGATAAAGTGACAAGAAAAAGCGCGGCTGTTTGGAGACGGAATGTGATGGGGCCAGGGTCAGTGTTGCAAGAGCAGAGTGAGGCAGCGCCGCGGTCCAGGTGGGAGCTGGGGGCACCTGGGCTGAGCTGGCAGCAGTGGAGATGGGGAGAAGGGGAGAGGGCAGAGGGACGCCTTTAAAGTGGGAACGACGTGGGCTTTGCCTTCAGATCAGATGGGGGTTACGCAGAAGTTAAGGATGACTTCTAGGTATTCGGTATTGGGAACCGTGGAGCTGGAGGGCACATTTCCTGAAAGGGGAGACCATGGAAGCATGTGTGGGGTGCTCATAAAGATGTTGAGATGCCCACGGGGGACCTAGTGGTGAGGTCACGGGGCTATGGGGTCAGATCCCCAAGTCTAGAGGTTAGAGAAGACATGAAGTCGGCAGATACAAGTTGGTGAGTGCCCAGCAGAGCCCGTTTTCAAGATGCAGGATGGGGAGATCCCCTGGGAGGGGCAGGCAAGGGAAGTCCCAGCCTGCAGGCCCAGTCTCGCCTCTGCAGGATCTGGACGATGAGCAGAGGGATTCTGGGCATAAACCCACACACGCGCAGCTGAGAGGCAGGAGGAGACCGGGCAAGTGGGGCCTGCGGATGCAGAGGGAGAACAGCATCGGCAAGTCTCAGCTGCCATGTCTGCTGCCATGGAAGCTCGGACAGAGATATCAGAGAAGTGACCCTGACTGCAGAGAAAAGGCTGCCACCGGCAGGTACGGCTGAGTGCCAGGAAGGAGCTTGTCGTGCAGACAGGAATTTAGGTACCTGGGGCACTCACCTGGCAGGCCCTTCAGCCCCATCTTTGTGGCCTCCTAAACTTCTCCCAAGAGCAAGCATTCACCCTCAGCTCTGCTTCCTCTCAGTTACTATCAAGTCGCCCAAACTCTGCTTTGCTCCCTCCAGATCCTTTCTCCCGCCAGCCAGCGGGAACTTCCAAGCCTGTCCCACTCCTGATGGAGCTTTCAGTGGCTGCTACCAGGGGATAAAGTCCAAATAGCACTTGCGAGTTTCTAGGTCATTTGGCTCCTGCTCACCTCTCTGCTGGCCTCCCTCTCCCCCTCCCCCCATATACCTTTTATGTCTACACGCCAGTCATTTTCTTTCATTGTCATCTCTTGTTTCGTCTACTGTGCCTATTATTTTTGCTCTCCAGGTTCGAGTCAGAAGTGTCGGTTTAAACATTATTCTCCCAGAAGAGGTTCCTTGGATCCCCCTTTGAGGTCAAGTTCCCTGGTCTGCATGCTCCCTGTCGAGGGAGATGGCCTTTCTTTTCTTTTTTTTTCTGCTATTAGCACCAGAGAGTCTGTGCCCATGGTTTACAACTATGTCTCAGCACATAACATGGGTAGACGATCAGTAAATATTTCCTGAATGGATTAAGTGAAATCAGCTTCTCACTTCCATGGAAATTCCCCACCAGAATTTTTCTTAAACAAGAAACTATCTTAAATGACTGGAGTATTTAAGTAATGCAGCTAATTTGGACATTTCAGATAAGGCTTTTCAAAATCAACAGGTCAATAATATCTCAGGAGGCAAAACCTATAGATCCAATTATTCTAAATCATTGCAACTTAGAGACTGAATAGAATGCTTCCATCCGGCGGTGCTTGTTAATCCAAGTTAATAATAAGTAACCTTTTGGTTGAGGGAGAGGCGAGTTAAATAATCCCTGATTCTGTAGGAGCAATTAGTTATACATCTATTAATTTGCCTGCTTTCATTCAGGCACTATTAAAAAAAAAATCCGAGAGGTAATAGGAGTTGAGCGGCCTTCCATTCTTTGCAACATTTTCAGAAAATGAGCCCTGAAACAAGCCAACAGCGGGGCCCTCATTAACTTAATACACTTTAATCTTGTGACTCGAAGCTGGGGCTGGATTCATTGAATCCGGAGCCACCGACTCCCACCTCCTGCCACCTGGAGACATCTGCGCGGCTGTTCTGACAGTGGGGCCCAGTCTGAGCTCATTATCCAACTCGCTCTTGTCTCCTGCAGAAACCCGCCCTCCTCCTGGGTCTCCTGTCTCCTCATGTCTCCGACACAGGCTGGCGGTCCCAGCAGCATCTCCCAGGCCTCTCCTTGCCTCTGCTCTTCCCTCCGCCTCCCGGCCCCCCATGACTCTCACTGAGGTGTCTTGCATTGGCCCCCTTCCCTCCTGGAAGGCCTCCCCACTGGGCTATTAGAAGCAACTTCCAAAACCCAAATAGGATCTTGTCATTCCTTCAAAGCAAATCAACCGTCTAAAACTCCAAGCCATTTCCTCCTTGTAACTAGTACTTGTGAGGACGTACTGTGTGCAAGCTCACACTCAGCACTCCGCACACGATCGCATTAAATCCTTCTAAAGAGCCGTGACTGCCCACCATGCCCTCCCCGCCCTGCGTTGTCCACTCCATCCAGGCCTCGCCCCGGCTTCCCAGGTGCCTGCCTCGGCTGCCTCCGGTTCCAAGGACAGCAGGCAACCCTTTGTCCTCTGCCCCCTGTCCTCAAGTGTTCTCCTCGGTCTTGGTAGGACTTCTGCCATTTGTCTCAGCTCCATATGAGAACGTTGGGTCCCTGACTGGCCCTCATGTGGGACAGAGGCCTCGGCCACCCCTCTAGCCTGGATGGGAAGGTTTGCAAGACCTGCCCCAGGAGGAAACCTAAGGACACGTGCTTCAGAAGGTGCCCCACCCGCGCAGCCCCCACCGTCTGTCATTGTTTTGTTCCCCGCTCCCTGCGGACCGTGGGGGCAGCCCCGCTTGTCTCGGCCGCTCTCCCTGCATCGCCGCCACCGACCAACCCTCCAGCCACCCCGTCGTATCATCCCGGCTCGAAGCCGACCACCGAGCTCTCCGCTCCGGCCTCCTGGGAGCGCGGGAGGCTGCGGGGCACGGCCGCAACGCCCAGGCAGGCCCTGGCCAGGCCCGCAGGAGCCCCGGCCGTCCTGCTGCCACCACGGCCACGCGCACGGGCTGCCCCGGGGACGCCGTCGTGACAAGGGCTGCTCTTCCGAGGCTCAGCGAAATGCAGACACTTTCGAGGGCCCGACCTGGCGCGGGCCAGCCCCGCTGCTCCTGCGCCCAGGTGTCAGGTGCGCCCAGGTGTCAGGTGCACCCAGGTGTCAGGTGCCGGAATGAGGCGCGAGGGCCCGAAGGAGTCCGCGAATCAGGGGCGGAGCCGGGACCCTGATGCCGGGACAGGTGCGTCTAGCTGGAAACTTCCGGCCCGGCCCGTAAACTCCCTGGGGCCCAGGCAGCCCTGGCCTGGATCGACGCGGCACTGGGCGCCGCCGGTGTGGGCCCGCCCCGCCCCGCCCCGCCCCCAGGGCCGGCCCCGCCCAGTGGGCCCCGCCCCCGCCAGGCCCCGCCCCCGCCAGGCCCCGCCCCCGCCCTGCTCCAGCGCGCGCGCCCCCGCCCGTCGTGCGCATGCGCCGTGCTCGCGCGCCGGCGGGGAGAATGGCGGGGGCCGCGCCGGGCGCCATCATGGACGAGGACTACTTCGGGAGCGCGGCCGAGTGGGGCGATGAGGCGGACGGCGGCCAGGTGAGGGGGGCTCCGGGCGCCCCCGACGAGGACCGCCGGTCTCGTCGCCGGCGGGCCCGCCCCGCCGCCGCGCCCGGCCCGCGGCCAGTTGGTTCAAGCACAGCCGCCCCGCCCCCTCCAGGCGCGCCCCCCGCCCGCCGCGGCCCGGCGCCCCCCCGAACCCCCCCCGGCGCCCCCCCCGGCATCCCCCCCGGGCCCTCCCCCGCGTCCTCCCCGGCTCGGCCGGGCGGCGAGGGGGCGGGCCCGGGCGGGGACCCCGCGCTGCGGCCGCCCCGGGCCTCAGGTGCCCCCCCGCCCCCCCCCCCGCCCTCGAGGCCGGCCCCGCGCTGGGCCCCGCTGACCGCTCGCCCCTTCTCCGGGCAGCCCCGGCGCGGGGCACGTGGCGCTACTTTGCCAGGGCGCCCCCGAGCCTCGAGGCCCTCCGACAGGCTGCCTCGTGGAAAGCGAACGGGGGTGTCGCGCCGAGTCCCCCCTCCTGGCACAGGGAGGCGCCCCCTCCTTGGGCTTCGGGCTTGGCGGGAGGGCCGCCCTCCCCCCCCCCCCCCCCGCGCCCACGCGCCTCCCGCCCCTGCCCGGCCTGCGTCCGCCCCACGCCGGGCCGACCCCTGCGCCCTCCCCAAAGGCGGGAAACCCCGCTCGCAGCCGGGCGGCGGGAGACTGTGAGCTCGTCCCCTGAGTAGAAATCACGTCACCGCTCAGGCCCGCCTGGGAGACGGGAGACGGCCCTGTGGTTCGCATGGAGGGGAACCTGGGGATTTGCCTCCTTTTAAAAAAACAAAAAAGATTTATTTTATTTATACAAGAGCTGGGGTACAGGCCAGAGGCGCGGGAGGGTGAGAGGATTCACCAGAGACAGAGCGGGGAGCAGAACAGGCGAACTGACGAAATCCACTGCTGAGGGGAGCAGCGGGCGGCAGGAGGGGTCTGCGCGCCATGTGGGTTGCTCCCTGGCCGGCTGGGGATCGACCCTGCGCTGCGGACAGCTTTACAGTACCGCGCTCAACCCGCTGGGCCTCTGGGGAGGCCCATATTTGCCTTCTAAGAGCCCAGATAGGGATGTTTGGGAAATAGGAACTATGCATGGCGGGAAGGTTGGAGTGGGGTGTCCTTCGTTGAAGGGGGGTGCAGCGAGGGCAGGAGAGGCAGGGTACAATGACCTAAACGTAGGTGCTGTGTTCCCGGAGCTGAAAGGCATCTTGTGTGGTGAGCTGCCTGCTGGAGGCGGCCATAGGCCCGCAAGGAGCAGGTTCTGAAGGGCCTTTGAGAACTGCTGAAAAGTAGGACTTCTTCAAGGGTTTGGAGCAGGGGAAGATGTTGGGTTAGTCGGCACTGCTGGAGGTTTCTAGCGGAGTGGAGAGGCAGGTTTCTCTCTTTGAGCGCCTGGTGCTTTCCTGCATCATCTCATTCTACGCGAGAGTGTGCTGGACGCCAGCTCTGCTCATGCTGTATGTGAAGAAAGGGAGGCCACGTGAAAGTGACGTGCCCACCATCAGGAAACCAGGAAACGATGTTCTTGGACTCCACTGGCCACCTAAGTGGTCCGGATGAGAAAAATTTAGGATTAGCTGATCTGTGGTGCGCTGGCGCTGGCGGCGCCCTGTTCAGTGTCCCAGCTCCTGTCACACAGCCTTCGAGTCATGGCCGCAGCTGGGGCATGTGAAGGACCGTTTAGTCCAGTGCCTCTGTTCTGTGGACGGAGCCATCCGGTTATTTGCGCTGGCTGGGCAGACAGGAATGGCAGAGCCAGGCCTAGACCCTACTGCCAGGAGGAGTGTCATGTCTGGAGAACTTGATTCATCGAAGTTCAGCCCGTTGATCCAAAGGCTCATGGATGAGAGGGGTGTGCTGATCCTCATGCTCCATCGGACTCTGCATGGAGGAAGGAGGGGAAACTGAGGAAGGCGACAGGGGTGTCAGGAGCTGGGTTAAAGATAACAATAGGTCGATGTGTAGAACCCAGAGTTGGCTCACTGACACCTTATTAGGTGGCTTGGGGGGGGGGCTGTCGAGCCCACAGGATGGATGCTGAGAGCTATGGAAGTGCCAGGGGTTTAGTCCCGCTGTGGGCTGCACTGGGGAGTGTCCGAGCTGAGACTGGCCAGGGGACAGGTGGAAAGTCAGAGTCATGCTAAAGCTCGGGTGACGTCTAAACGAGAGCATCAGATTGGCTGATGGCATTCACTGTGTCATCCCTGGGAGACAGGGCTGGCAGGAGGCCTTGGGGTGTCGCTGTCGCCAGCATGCGCAAGGTCAGCACTGGCAGGGGCAAGAAGAGCCAGCTTGGACTTACGGGAGATGTGGGGTGGGGTGAGCGGGCCGAGAAGCCGAGAACTTGGAGCTTGCAGGAATTCCTTCCTCACTGGGAGCTGTCGGGCCCTCTCGTCAGAGGGAAAGGAAGAGGCAGTCTCGGACGTCACGAGTTAGGAGGACTAAAGGGCCGTCCCCATGGCGGTGAGAACAGACTGGGTAGTTCCAGGCTGAATTCTAGGTGTGCAGGGAGTGGCGTGACCCAAGAGAAGACCCCAGAGGATGGCACCCTTCTGCCAAGGGCCAGGTCAGCGTGCTTAGCCCATTCACCCCTCAGTTACTCAGCTCTCCATTATGGGGGGAACGGAGCCATGGACAGTGTGTATTTTATAGTGGGTGTGGTTGTGATCCAAAAAAATTTGACTTAAAGAAAACCAGAGGAGGGCGTGTCCCGGCCAGGGATGTAGCTTGCCCAGCCCAGCCCTTAAAGCCTGACTGTGTCAGAGGCGCGTGTGTGGAGCCCCGGCTCCTCCTAGTCCGAGAACTTCTGCAGAAAAAGCCCTGGCTTGTCTTACATCTCTGTAGGTTTTCTGGTGACCTGAGGGTCGCCAGAATACTCACAGGGTGGATGACAGCAGTAAAGCCAGCCAGGCCTTGGGACCCCCGTCTGCACCGTCATCCTCTGTCCTTGGATTCGGTGACCTACCTGAGCTTCCACACAGAACGGGCCCTGGTGTCCAGCCAGGCCTGCCGGTGGGGGCGAGGCGGTCATCTGTACTTTCTAACAGCAGATGGAGGGCCGATGCCTTCAAGAATCACCTCATCACTCTGCTGGGAAGTGTGAAAGGGCACATGTGATGTCAAAGCGAGGATAGTGAATCGCCAACATCTGTCGAACGCTCACTCGACGTCAGGCCTGTGCTTGGCATTTCCAGAAATTAGCTCGTGGAGTCTTCGCAGTAGCTGGGGGGGTGGGGGCGGGGGGTAGGACTGCCACGACGCTCCTTGTTTCCTGGACGAGCTGGGCGCCCGGGAGGTGGGGACTGCTGCCGGGGGACCACTTGTGACTCCCGAGCCCTGTCTCTCGGCCTCTCGGTCCCCCCATCCCACGTCACGGGATTCACAGGAAACACTGTTCATGGCACCCTTGAGCAGCTGCGCTCCTGGCGGGGGCGAGACTCCAGGGCGCTTGCACTAATGCCGCGGCGGCGCGGCCGTCTCCCCGCAGCAGGAGGACGACTCCGGGGAGGGCGAGGACGACGCGGAGGTGCAGCAGGAGTGCCTGCACAAGTTCTCCACCCGGGACTACATCATGGAGCCGTCCATCTTCAACACCCTGAAGAGGTGCGGGGGGTGCCGCTCGTGCCGGGGGAGGGTGGGGACAGCGTCGAGAGAGTTTGTGGGAGACCGGAAAGTGGGGAGTGGAAGGAAGACGCATGCGAGGCACACTTCACAAATCCTGGAGCTGCCTGTCTCCTCGCGTCCCCCGCCGGGCGTTCGCGCACGTTCCGGGGGTGCCCACCCGGCTTGCGCCTTTTTCTAGGTATTTTCAGGCAGGAGGGTCTCCGGAGAACGTGATCCAGCTCTTGTCGGAGAACTACACAGCGGTGGCCCAGACCGTGAACCTGCTGGCCGAGTGGCTCATCCAGACAGGTGCGGTGTGGGTGCCCCCGCCCCCCCCTCACGAGACCTTCGGGGCACTGTGACGCTGCTAAGTGGACGGCCCTTCTTCAGCCCTGGCCTGTGAGACTTCTGTAGGCGCGGGACTTCTTACCCGTCCCCACCTGCCCGATTCCTGCCTCTCACTCGGTAATTGAGGTGTGCGGGGCCTGCAAACGCCACTCCCCGAGCTGTTTCCCGGCCCCTTGCCGCGGGAGAGGGCGATGCGGCGCGTGGTCAGCGTGTCGCTCTGGGACGCCTTCCTGTCAGCCCACCGAACTGGGCGCCGTGATGTCACACCCAGTACTGGCCGGACACTCGTCGGGCCGTCGCCGTCACGGTCATAGGGCAAGTGGGCGCTCTCGGCCTCCCTGCCCTCTGCCGTGAGAGGCCTGTGTTCCATCCACCTGCCCGGCTATTTTGGCGGTTTTCCACGTCAGCCGGGTGTCAGAGGTTACTGTCCTTTCCTGTGCGCCTTTGCGGGCCTTGCCACTGAACACAAGGCGTGGATGCTGGTTTTTATGCGCAGCGCAAGGCCCTGAGTGGTCGGAGCAGCGCTGTGGACGCCATTCCGTCCACTTCTGCTGAAGCAGCACAGCCTGTCGCGTGACGGCCGCTCTCTGCCTCGCGGCTTTTGTGTTCTCAGGTGTCGAGCCGGTGCAGGTCCAGGAAACTGTGGAGAATCACTTGAAGAGTTTGTTGATCAAACACTTTGACCCCCGCAAAGCAGATTCTATTTTCACTGAGGAAGGAGAGGTGAGGAGTCGTTTCTTTTTCTTACACCGGGGCCTGCGCTCTCCGGCCTGTGGTGTGTGTGCCAGGGCCGTGGCCTGTCTTGCGGTGGGGTAAGAGCTGGGGGTGAGATCAGGGCGTGAGACAGGATGCACCTGTTGTCAGAACCGCCCTTTCGAGGTGCTGAGCATGAGACAGGGATTTGACGCCTCTTGCTCCACAGAAACTAGAGTGCAGGCTGTGGGGGACGGGAGCACCCCCCTACAGGAGGGAAGGGAGGAAGGTTGGGGCTCCTTAGACAACAGAGCAGCCTCCAGAACGGTTCAGCATTGTCAGCGGCGTCTTTAAGCCACAGCTGCCCATCACTGGGGCCGCCTGCCGGCCGTGGAGCCTGCCTCACGCGTCCGGTAGCTGGGGGGAGCCCCCCACAGAGGGGAGGTGGATTCGGAGGGCAGCCCCTGGCTTGTTAGTCTCACAGCTGACCATTTGATGGTCAGCCCCCATTTAGATGGCCCCTCCCCTTTTGCTGTGGGCGTGCAGCCGACTTGTGAGTCCCTGGTGCGTGTGACGCAGCGCCCGCGCACGGGCGTCCTCCAGGCTCCAGTGTTTCTCAGGAGGTGCCTCTTGGCAGGCTCTTTGGCCACGTCAGGTCTGCCCAAGTCTGTGAGTGGCACTTGGGCTCCAGCTCTGCCACTCAGCTGCCCACGTGGTCTCACCCGCTCCCTCGCCTGAGGACCGCGAGGCAGAGCCAGGCGCGACGGGGCCCTTCCCTGCCGCAGGCCCTGCGCCTCCGCCGACGCTCAGGTGAGGCCGCCGGGCTCCCGTTTGTGTCGGCAGACCCCCGCATGGCTGGAGCAGATGATCGCGCACACCACCTGGAGAGATCTCTTCTACAAACTGGCCGAAGCGCATCCAGACTGCTTGATGCTTAACTTCACCGTCAAGGTGGGACGCGTGCGGGGTCGGCGGGGAGGGCCGAGGCTTACTTGGGTTATGGAGTTGGCGTTTCCTTTGAAAAATTACATTTACGTTTTGGGTAAAGGTCTTCATCCTTTCACTTAGTAAGTGTCCCATCGAGAGAGAAGCACAGAGCAGGCGTCCATGTCCGAGGGCCAGCAGGACTGTGCTTTGGGGCTGGGCTGGGACGTGCAGTTTAGAGTCTGCTGTGCTGAGAGGAGCTCTTGAAGAGCGCCGGGTCTGCCCCCGCGCCAGACACACAAGGGTGGGGTGGGCGCTCGTCTGGCCACAGGCCTCACTGTCGGGAGCAGGGCTCGCTCGCCCCACTCCCCACATGCTGCCCATGGCCACTTGCTGTGAACCACGTGGTCCCTGCTGTTGACCTGCTCTGTCTGTGGCAGCTCATTTCTGACGCGGGGTACCAGGGGGAGATCACCAGCGTGTCCACAGCCTGCCAGCAGCTGGAGGTGTTCTCTAGGGTGCTTCGCACCTCTCTGGCCACCATCTTAGATGGAGGAGAAGAAAACCTTGAAAAAAACCTCCCCGAGTTTGCGGTAAGTGCTTCCCTCTGTGGCGTGCAACTTGGGAGGCTATTCCGGGTCCCATGTGTTCAAGCACAAGCTGCCCCTTCTGCGTTGGGGCAGAGGGTTCCACCCAGGACCCTGACTTCCCTGCAGACCGCTCACTTCCCTGCGACCTGTAGGAATCTGATGGTTGTCTGCAGTTGGGGAACCCCCCCCTCTCCCTGCCACTTTGCAGAAAATGGTGTGCCACGGGGAACACACGTACCTGTTTGCCCAGGCCATGATGTCGGTGCTGGCTCAGGAGGAGCAGGGGGGCTCCGCTGTGCGCCGGATTGCTCAGGAGGTCCAGCGCTTCGCCCAGGAGAAGTGAGAGGCGGGGTTCTGCTCTCCTAGCCCCTACTAGGTGCTCCCCACAAAGCCACCCGTTGCCCTCTTCCCACACCCGAAGACTGTAGGTGCCCTGTTTGGCTGAAGAGTAGGTAAATTTCCTTTCATCCTGTAAAGGGTAATTTTATATATACAGAAATTCTTTTTAAGCTTTTGATTAATTTTTAAAGTATTTGATTATTGTTCACGTCACTGGGTTTATGAACCTCCGTTTTCATACATTGGGGTCATCAGCCGCGAGTAACAGTGGTCCTGAAATAGTGACTCAGTAGTCTAAGTGTTGCGCTGCAGTCATATTTTAAAGAACAAAGTTGGCCCTAATTAGCTTTGTTTTCTCCTAATGGAATCTTAAGATATTTTAAAAGCGTGTGGTTTCTTTTAGAAAGTCTGTAAGCTGTAGTTGAATCATTCTTTCCCAATTAACTCTAAATGTTGTTTTCACGGCTCAGTGAGTCAGTATGCGAGTGAGTGACAGAAATATGAAACACACAGCAGGATCCCGACCACTCCAAGAATTAAGTGTGAAGGAAGGAAGGAAGGGGAGAGGGCAGGGAGCAGGGACCCGCCGTCCTGACGACGGGGCATACGGTTGTCACGCAGAGGCCACGACGCCAGTCAGATCACACTGGCGCTGGGCACGGCCGCCTCCTACCCCAGGGCCTGCCAGGCCCTCGGCGCCATGTTATCCAAAGGAGCCCTGAACCCCGCCGACATCACCGTCCTCTTCAAGATGTTCACGAGCATGGACCCGCCTCCTGTCGAGCTTGTAAGCGGCTTCCGTTGGGTGGGGTGGGACTCCCCGCCATGCCGGTTGGAAGGGCTGCTCTGGAAAGTCTGTTCCTCTGATTCCGGCACGGTCTCAGCCCTTGATGCGCTGAGCGCTGTGGGCGGGGGCCGGGCGACTCGCTCCCTCTGAGTGTGTCCGGACTCGCCTGCCGTGTTTCTCCTGCGTCCTCTTCAACGAGGGGTGTGTGTGTCCTCAGATCCGGGTGCCGGCCTTCCTGGACCTGTTCATGCAGTCACTCTTCAAGCCGGGGGCCAGGATCAACCAGGACCACAAGCACAAGTACATCCACATCCTGGCCTACGCAGCGAGCGTGGTGGAGACCTGGAAGAAGGTACCGGCGCTGACACTCCCCGACGCGAGGGGAGAAGCGGTCTCGTGTCTCCGGTAGCGTTTGGAACTCTTGGCTGCGAGAAGTGATACGCTCCACTAGGGTCAGACGTGATTTTACAGTGTTTGTGCATAACATCGTCAGAGCGCTGAGTGTCCAGAAAACGCTCAGCATCCATCCAGCACCTCATAGTTTGAAGCGTGGCTAAAGAGACGCACCTGACTTCCTCGGGCGCCGACGCTGGTTTGGGCTTCTGCTCCTCTCTGCCCCGTGTCTGGATCTTGCTCTCTGGGGGAGGGACGGCGACGGCAGGCAGGAGCGGGCGTCTGGCCGGGGGTTGCATCCCTCAGGAGTCGCTGACTTTGTGTGTTTGCAGAACAAGCGCGTGAGCATTAATAAAGACGAGCTGAAGTCCACGTCGAAAGCCGTCGAGACCGTTCACAACCTGTGCTGCAACGAGAACAAAGGGGCCTCGGAGCTGGTGGCGGAGCTGAGCACGCTGTACCAGTGCATCAGGTGGGCAGGCTGGCCCTGGCGGGGGCCCTTGACAGAAGGCGTTTCCGTTTTCATAGTAGAGGGTTAAAAAAAAAAAGCTTCAGAGATGCTCTGTTTATCCTCTCCTTCCGAAACAGGCCTCACGCCGTCGCGACAAGTCGCTTCCCGTCGTGTCAGGCACGGCGCGTTTCCCCGTTAGACACGGAAAGAGGAGAGCGTTCAAAGTTAGAAAAATTGATTTGAAAAAAAGGCCTCTCTCTAGGGAAAGGGAGACAACACAGTGCTGTTTAGGGACCAGCGACTTGTCACGCCGGCGACAGCGTCCGCCTTTGTCCGGGAGTCTTGCCAGCCGGGTCCTCCCGTAGGCACGCGACGCTTTCCTGCTCATTTGCAGCGGGGCCGGAAGGGTTTGCTCGAGTCAGCCTCGGCCCCCTCGGCCAGGCCCCTGGCGCGCTCAGGCCTGTTCTCGGGCCTGCAGAGCGGCTGGAAGTGCACCGACTTCAGCGTCGGGCGTTTGCGCGCGGGGAAGGGACTCGGTCTTGCCGGACTGTTCTCGAGTAAGGGCTCCCTGGCCTGGTGTCCTGCGGACGGGGTTGAAGCCAGGCCGCGTGCCCGCTGGTGGAGGACCGCGCTGAGATGCGGCTGTCCGTCCCCGCCGCGGAGCGCTGGCCGCCGTGGGGAGAGACGAGCGCGGCCGTCTCCAGCAAACCGGGAGGCGGGAGGGAAGGCGCACAGGAGGGCGAGTAGGACAAGGACAGACGCTGGCTGCTCATGGAGCGGGCGAGGCAGCAAAGCAAAATACTTCCAAAAACTAGTGGACGCTAGTGATGCTGCGGCTAAGAGGGCGAGGAGAGGAGTCCGGGCCTAAGGGGTGACGGCGCGGGGTAAAGGCTGTCACCGTGGAGCTCTCGCTCTTTAATTTTTAAGACAAAGAAACCCGAGTCCGAGACCGAGGGGTAGACTGTCCTCGCCCGCAGTGCGCGGGCTGCGTTGCGAGCTTTGTCTTGAGCGCCCGCCTCGTCGCCTGCAGGTTTCCCGTGGTGGCGATGGGCGTGCTGAAGTGGGTGGACTGGACGGTGTCCGAGCCCAGGTACTTCCAGCTGCAGACCGACCACACCCCGGTGCACCTGGCCCTGCTCGACGAGGTAGGCGGCTCGGGGCGTGTGGCCCCGCTGTGCCCGGCCTTGTGCTGCCGAGCCCGTGTGACGCCGCAGCCGGCAGTGAGCGCAGATGCTCTTTTTAATGTTGCAGATTTCTTTCCATCAGATTTTACGGGTTTACCAGTCATTCACAACACCATCCCTTCAGGGGTGAACGTGACACCTCCGTGTGTGCAGATGCCTTATGCATCCCCCGCCCCCCTGACTCCAGGGCCCGTCTTACCAGCTCCCGCTCCCCCGCCCCTTCCCCCTCTGTCTCCCTTGGGGCTTCTGCTGTGGCATCCGAGCCCAGTGGCATGTGAGCTTGTTCTTTGGCTTTTTCTAATCCACACGAGTCTCTTCCTGAGCGCCGCCCCCGCAGGGCTCATCTGTGCTGTCACGGGAGGCGAGGGCCCCTCCCCTCAGCCAGCGGGCCAGTGTCCCGTCGAGAGTGTGCACACCCTCCTCGTCCAGCCTTGTCCAGGCATCTAGGTGATCCCACGTCTCTGTGCCCAACCGCGGGGTGAGACTGTGGGGCGTGGGTGGCGTCTGTGCAGATGAGCGCTCCCAGGTTCTGTGGTCAGTACCTGCGCGTGGAGAGACGGGGGCGTGCACTGTTGGCAGTTTGAGTTTTTGAAGGCACCTCCGTACTGTTCCCCCGGAGGCCGCACCAGTTCACAGCCCCCCAGGAGAGAGGGGCCCCCTCCGCCCTCCCCGCTCTGCCACGGCCCATCTTCTCACAGATGTGACAGTGTTTGTGGCTTTGCGCGGCCTTTCTCTTCTCGTGAGTGGTGGCGCACGTTTCTGGGCCTGCGGCCATCTGCACGTCTTCAAAAGACACTCTTCAGAGCTCTTCCTGGCCTGCACGAAGACTTTCCTTTTAAGAAATGAGTTTCGCTAACTCCATAGATTAAATTTTTATTGCGAGCCCCTGAAAGGACGAGAAATGGGGCTGGAGACGATGCGCCCTGGGCCATCGTCAGAGACAAGCTGTCCTGGGGTGCTGTCATCGTGCCAGGGGTCCCCTGGGTGCTGGCGGTGGGCCCACCCCGGTGCTCAGTAGAGTCCCTTTGGCCTGTTTGTAGATCAGCACCTGCCACCAGCTCCTGCACCCCCAGGTCCTGCAGCTGCTTGTGAAGCTTTTTGAGACGGAGCACTCCCAGCTGGACGTGATGGAGCAGGTGAGGCCCCCGGCTTGTGTGCAGCTCGGCGTGAAGACCCCATTTTAACAGACTCTCTGCCCCCACTCCTGTAGCTGGAGCTGAAGAAGACCCTGCTGGACAGGATGGTTCACCTGCTGAGTCGAGGTTACGTGCTTCCTGTGGTTAGTTACATCCGGAAGTGCCTGGAGAAGCTGGACACCGACATTTCCCTCATCCGCTATTTTGTAACTGAGGTCAGCAGTGCCTGGCTCACGCGTACTGTTATGGTGGTGGTGGTGGTGGTGGGTGGATGGGGGGGCTGTGCCCTTTTTGCCTTGAATTCATTTTGCACCTGAGCGTGCGCTCTTGGTGACGACGGCGACTCCGACACCTGTCTGCGGGGACTGCTTGTTGTGGTTCACCTGCGTTTCCGCCTGGGCGTCTGAATGCTGGAGACCGGCCTTGTCACCCGGGGGGGGGGGGGACATTTTCTCCAAACTGATTCCCGTCCTGTCGGCACCTGGGTGCGCTGGGCTGGGGGCCATGCGGGGGCCTGACCTGCTGCTGTCCCCATAGGTCCTGGATGTCATCGCCCCGCCGTACACCTCTGACTTTGTGCAGCTTTTCCTCCCCATCTTGGAAAACGACAGCATCGCAGGCACCATTAAAACAGAAGGGGAGCACGACCCCGTGACGGAGTTCATAGGTGGGGCTGCCGAGCCGTCCCGCGGCTGCTTTGGTTTGGCCTCCTGCCGTCCCGCGTCTAACCCAGTGCCCGTTTTCCTTCTCTTCCCTAAAGCTCACTGCAAGTCCAACTTCATCCTGGTGAACTAACGCAGCGCCCTCCCGACGACGTGGAACACGCCAGGGCCTGACGTGAGGAGGCTCAGTGAGCCTCTCAGAGATGGGCGCAGCCAGAGGAAGGGGCTTTCTAAGAAGGGAAATGTTCGCGATTATGTGGGGAAAACTGCTGTTACGAAGGGCCCGCCCGGGCTGGCCCCCGCCGCCGTCTGCACATTCGTCTCCCCAGTAGCAGGCCCTGGATCCCACTGCCTGCGAGGCCCACCTGGCCGGCCGCCCGGGGGCCTACATGAACCACTTTCAAGAACTTGTAATTGTTTAATTTTCCAAGAGCGAAGTTTTACAAAACCCGTCTGGGTTGAAGGTGTAGAGCCGGTGTCGGTCTGTCCCGTGTAAATAAAACGTGCTCCGGCTCAGTCCTTAGGAGTCGAGTGATTTTATTCATCGCGTGTTTGAAATTGCCACCTCTCCCCCCCGATCACGAGCACACGGAGCGGGTGACAGGTCCGGACTGCGCTAGTGCCTCGGGACCGTGGTATGGACCAGCCAGGAGACCAGGTCGTCCACTGCGGCAAACACAGATCACGCTCTTGAGGCCCCCTCCTCCCCAGGGGCTGAGTCTGCCCCCCACCAGCTCCCTCAGGGGTGCCGGTTCTGCAGCTTGGCCCCTTCAGGTGCTCAGTGCTGTCACGACGCCCCTGTGCCCGGACTGTCCACCCCCGGCCCTCAGACCCCAGCAGCCCCAACGCGGTGCCCGAAACAGTGTCTCTGGTCTGGTCAGGAGTCCCTTCTTCAGCAGCGGCTTAGACGATGGGGTCCCCGAAGGTGCAGTACTGCTCGAGGGCCAGGTTGTAGTCGTCGCCCCGGCCGTCCTTGTAGGTGCTGGTCACTATCCGCATCCAGCCACGCTCGCCCTGCGGGGGGTGCGCGTTAGCCCGGCCTCCCCTCCCCTCCCCTCCCCTCTCTGGGGGGGCAGTCGTGTGCTGTCCAGTCCAAACCACCTCCTTGGCTTCCCCTTTCCTTCCCCGGGACCCCGTTCCTAAAGGGCTTCTGTCAAATATTTACCGAGGTTACTATTTAACCCAGCGCAGGGCCCTCTGTGCAGAGCAGATAATGTCACCAAGTGTGGGCTGGCGGGGCCAGAGGACTTCGCTGCCTGTTCGCTGCCCCGCGTCGCCATTTAACGAGAGCAGAACTGGCCCTTCCCCCACGTCCTAGGGTTTCTGTGTCTACACTGTTCCGGCTCCGAGATGCCTCCGCATGAGAGTTCTGGCAATTAATCGCCCCCGCATTTTTTTTTTTTTTTTTTTTTTCGAGTCAGGGTCTCGCTATATTGCCCAGGCTGGAGTGCAGTGGCTATTCACAGGCGCGATCCCACTACTGATCAGCACGGGAGTTTTGACCTGCTCCGTTTCCGACCTGGGCCGGTTCACCCCTCCTTAGGCAACCTGGTGGTCCCCCGCTCCCGGGAGGTCACCATATTGATGCCGAACTTAGTGCGGACACCCGATCGGCATAGCGCACTGCAGCCCAGAACTCCTGGACTCAAGCGATCCTCCTGCCTCTGCCTCCCGAGTAGCTGGGACTACAGGCGCGCGCCACCACGCCCGGCACCCCCGCATTTTTGACCCAACTCAAAAGTATTTGCAAAAAGCCCCAGTATTCCTTAGGAAAGCCCCACGCGGAAGGTGAGGGTGGCTGCCAGGAGCCGCCAGGTGAGTGCCCGCATCGCTGCCCCACGGGGGAGAGGGGGGCAGAAGGACCCGCCCCTGCGGCGCCAGCCCCTGTGCCAAGCCCCCGAGCAAGCATCTTACCCAAGGTTCACCCCACGAGTTCCGCACAATCCAGTACTCGGTGCCGTTGCTGACCCCCCAGCCGGCCACGGAGACCACGTGGTTGATGGAGGCCTTCTCCGCGTACTCCGCGTACACGCCGCCCGAGTACTTGTCCATCTTCTCCGTCGCCATGATCCCGCAGCTGAGAGCCAGGGCCGCCATCAGCACCGGGAAGGGCAGGACGCCGCCCCTCAGCACAGCGCCGCAAAGGCCCGCCCGCCGTGCTCCCCGCCGTGCTCCCCGCCGTGCTCCCCGCCTCTCCCTGAACGGGGCCTCGCGCACGCTGACCCACGGGGCGCGGCGAGGCCGGCGTCCTCTAGGAGAAAACTCCCACTCGAGCCGTGTGAGGAGCGAGGAGGCCGGTCCCGCGGCCTGGGCCGGCCGGCGGCTCACCTGATAGGCCCGTTGGCGTAGATCTCGGCCATCATCTTCTCCCTCCCGGACAGGGAGCCGTAGTCGCCGACTTTCCACAGGGTGTAGTTCTGGATGGCGTGGCACTCTTTGAACTCGGTGCAGGTGCCACACTGGTTGAACTTGTCACACTCTGGGGGAGAGCACGGGGTGGCGGCGTGAGCCCGTCTCCCGCGGGGCGTGGCACCCCCCCCCATGCCTCAGTGAGGACCAGAAACCACCCCGGGCGCTCCAGACAAGCCCTTCCCGATGACAGGCGCGCGGGGCGCCGCGGGCGGGCGGGAGCTGCCTGCCTGCCTCCAAGGCCGGGGGAAGGCCCTTTCCACGTTCTCCGCAGCCGGAAATCGTGCGATTAAGTTACTAACTTGTAAAGTCAGGCTGCTCTGCTGGCTGGGACTGGGCCAGCACAGCCGGGACAAGTAAGCTTTTCCACATAGTTCGGTTTGAGACGCTGTGAAGACGTAGCTCCTCAGCGGCGTGTGGCGGCCTCTGGGGCCCAGCGGCCTCTCCGTCCTGCCCTCACCGCGCGTGTCACCCAAGCTGCCCTAGCTTCACTGCCGCCCCGCCCTCCCTCCGCACAGCCGCCCCCTTGAGAATGGAGCTGCTGGTTTGCTCTGCCCCTCCAAGCTGACGCCAAACACCCAGCGTCCAGTCCAACTGTAACAGGGGGTCCCCAAGGAACGGGGAGGTGCCGGGTCCCCTGCCCCACCCAGGGGAGGGTGGAGCTGAGCAGGGAGGAGCAGCTGGAGAGGACATGGGGAAGGAAGGAAGGGGATGGGGACCCACAAGGGGGCCGGGGGGAGGCACGCGGAGAGACATGTGAAGAAGCCGCGTCGGCCTCTCAGCCTGGGACTTGCCCCAGGGACTTGGGGGACACGGATGGAGACACTTGAGACAGACGTGGGGCGACCCTGGGGGAAGGCTTGATTTCGCTCTTTTCCTCCCAGACTGGCCTGGCCCCTTCCACCCCTTTCCTTGGGTCCCACCAGGAGGTGCCTTAGGCTGGGGGCGGCTTCCAGGCCTCAGCGGCCCTGCTCTGGGCCAGCCCTGTCTGGCTGGACATTGACCCCTGAGGGGAGAGGGACTCTGGGTGTTTCATGTAAAAAATATTTTATCCTTTCCTCTCGCTTCTCTTCACGGCGCACCGCTCCCTCCCGCCAAAGGCCGTAAGCGCCAGAGCGTGTTTTGTCTTGAGGCGGCAGACGGCAGGACCTGTTCAGAGCAGGCAAGTCTGGGGCTCCTGGGCAACCCCACCCTGCCCTGCAGTGCAGCCAGGCTGCAGCGGGTCTCCCCCCACCTCTGCTAACTCCCAGACGCGCTGGGGCTGCACATAGGTTGCCGGGGAGGCGGGTCACAGGGGCCTGGCCTTGGCGGACCAGACCAGTTCCAGCAGGACAGGGCCGGGCCCGGGGGACCACCCGCCTCCTCCTCCCCTGCTCCTCTCTGGGGTTCTCTGACCCTGCTGCGCCCACACTTCAGGAAGACTCACCCAACCAGTCTGGGGTGTCAATCACTGGCAGGTGCCTCTGCCACTTGGGGTGCGGGGCACGCCCTTCATGTGCCAAGGGGCAGAGCAGCGCCCCCTGCTCACCACCCTCCCCGTCCTGTCTCAAGAGCTCGAGTCCACCTCGCTCTGCTCCGCAGGACAGCGGCTTCGGCTGCCCATCAAGGAACTTTATGGACTTTCCCTTCCCTTTGCTGTCCACGGGGAGCAGCCTCCAAGGAATGTGCCCGCCTGGAGACTGCAGGCCAGGACCCCGGGGCCCCCCACCCCCGCTCCACAGAACCCCCCAATGCCAGCCCCGCAGCTTCCCAGCCCCACGCGGCCCTCCAGGCTCCAGGTGGCTGGCCCCTCCCGGGGCCGGCCGGGCGGACCGTGGGGCGCCTACCCTGGTCCTTGGCCTGGTAGTTGTTGCACGTCTCGTCGGGGATGCCGTGCCTGTGCGCGTACTCCCACACCAGCAGGTCGTTGCCGCCCTCGCAGGAGCCCGCGTCGCCGCAGTCGATGACGTTCTGCACGGACAGCAGGGTGGACGGCCACGCTGCCTTCCTCTTGATGTTGATCCGATCTGTAGGGGCGGCAGCCCCGGTCAGCACCACCCTCTTCTCCCGAGGCCCTCGACCAAGGACATCCCCACCAGAGACCCCCAGCGGGCAGGCCAGGCCAGAAGCGCCCACTCGGGAGCTCAGTGTGAAGACTCAACCCCCTGTGCCAGGGAGCCAGCCCCAGACACCCGGGACAAAGGCCGGTCCCCACTCCCGAGGGCCCAAGTGGGTGCCCCCAAGCTCAGGGACAGCCCCGGGCCACAGTCCCGGAGCCAAACCGGCCCCAGGGAAGGGCAGGCTGGGACCAGCTCCCGGCGCACCTGGGCGGAGGGAGGACACTCTAACCGCGTGTGCAGGGCCCGCGCCCCCAGGCTGCCGGGACAGCGAGGACGGCTGCCGCACCCTCCTGGGCCTGCCGAGGGCCTCCCTTTCTGCGTGGAAACCGGCCAGGCCCGCAGCCAGCCCCGCCCTGCACCTGCACCTGCTCGTCCCACTTGGCCAAGCGGCCTAGGCCACGCCCGCCGCACCTGCCGCACCTGCGTTCCCGCGCCAAGTCCACTCACCTGCTCTTTCCCTCATGATGGCGCGGCCTCTGCTCCCCCCACGGCCGCCCAGAGGGCCCCCACCAGCCCGAGCCCTGGCGCCCACCCTGCTCCACTGCCTCATCTGACCAGCCTGGAGCCTGGTCCCACCGCCACAGCCCCTTCCTCCAGCCGCCCTTCTCCTGGGACACCCCTGGCCGGCCGCTGGTCCCCCTCAGCCGCCTGCTCTGTCAGCCACACCGCACCCTCCCCGGAGCAGCTGGCACTACCTAACGCACCGAGAAGGCAGGAGCACCCGCTCCAGGCCACCCCCAAGCGCTTTGTGCAGCCTCAGCCCCCGCATCTTCCGCACGCAGTAGGTGCGCGCAAGGCAGCTCCTGCGCCGAGGACCGGAATTTACTGATGAGACCCAGGGCGCCACCTCCCCGGCAGCCCTGGAGGTTCTTGAACCTCACACCCCAGCTTCTGCAGCCCCCCCGCCGGCCCCCACTGCTGCCTCCATCCCACGTGCCTCCAGCCAAAGCTGAGAGGCTTCCTCAGCAGGATGGCGACACCGGGGTGGGTGGCAGTCACGCCCAGAGCGAGAAGTGGGGGGCCAAGGGCTGCCTCGAGGGCCCGGTGCTGCCCTCCACGCCTGGCTGGCGACTGGTGCTTGTCTGCTGGCCCTGCGGCGCCTCCCTCTGCCCGCGCCACCCAACCTGCCTGCAGGCGCTTCCCGCCTCGCGGGCCCCAGCTGCCCACGCCAGACAAAAGAATGATCCGTGACTTCTCCCCACAGGAGCGCCCCTTCCAGACTGGACTCGGCACCTCTCTCTCCACCGGCTCCTCCAGGGCCCCACTCCAGCACCAGACGACCCGGGGGACCAGGGTCCTGCGACGCTCTGGTCTCACCTCACCAGCTCCCCTCCAGGCCTCACATCCGCTGCCCTCACGCCCGGCCCCGGTGCCCCTCATCCCCGAAGTCCGCCTCCTCTGTGTCCTCACCCGTGTCCCCCCACTCTGGGGGCCACAGATGGGCCACGGAGCCAGGGGCTCCTCTTTGCCACCCCCGGGAGTCCTCACCCCCATGTGAGACCAGAGCAGGCCCTGTGCCCTTCCACCTCGCCGTCCACACCCACTTCCCGGGATGGAGGCGGCTGCCCGCCTAGGGCCGCCCAGGCCCCTGCCCCTCCCCTCCGCCCCCCCAAGCTGTGCATTCTCACCCGCTGTGCACTCACCCCAAGTAAGTGTCCACACCTACTGTGCGCTCACCCCAAGTAAGTGTCCACACCTACTGTGCGCTCACCCCAAGTAAGTGTCCACACCTACTGTGCGCTCACCCCAGGCGTCTGTCACGCCTGCTGCGCACCACGCTCCGTCCCCGAGCTGGGAAAGCAGCGGCAGACACAGGAAACAAGGCTCTTCCCACAGGCTCACATGATGGGGGCGACGGGCCATAGCGCTGGGCACGAGGACACGAGGCGTCCGGCCCTGCGCGGCCAAGTAAGGGGAGTGGACTGGGGTGCATTGGGGGCGGCAGGGAGGCCTGGAGAGCGGGTTTCTGGACAGGAAGGGACGGCCCGCAGCCCCTGGCATCCGGCCGGGGTGCTGCTCGGACAGGGGGCAGCTGCCGTGGGCTCCTGCAGGCCGAGCAGGGCTCGTGTTCCCGGGTGTGGCATCTTAGACGGCTCCCGTGGGACAGAAACGTGACCCAGGGGCCTGGGCAGCCTGGGCAGCCTGGCTCTGCTGCGGGCGCAGGCAGGGAGACCGGTCAGGCGGGCCAGGCCGGTGGGTGCCAGGCAGGAAGCGGAGGCGTTCGGGAAATGCTTGAAGGGAGAAGGGACAGGTTGAGTTGGGCGTGGACAGGCAGGCGGGACGCGGGGATCTGCCTGAGTAACGGGAAAGAGGCCGGCGGGGAGCAGGGCGAGGAGGCAGGTGCGGAGGGGGGAAGGCCAGGTTGGGGGGCAGGAAGGCCCCTGGGGAGGAAGGGGCTGAGCACAAGAGGTTGGAGTGTCAGGGGTCTCAGCGCCAGGGAGCGCTCAGGTGATGGGTGCAGGACACCCCCAGCCGAGGCCTGGGGGAGGAAGAGGAGGCCCCCGGGGGGAGGCGCAGGGGATGGGGCGCGGCAGGAGGACGCCGGAAGGAGGTTCAGGCATAACCGAGGAGGAGGAGCCTGGCCCTCCTCAGTGGCCTGGGGCTGGGGGAGGGCGAGGGGTCAGCAGGCCAGAGTGGGCTCAGGATGGAGGAGAGCAAAGGGGGACACACCCCTCTGGGGGCCCGGCAGGGATGGGGGCCGCAGGCGGGCAGGTGGGAGCCCCTGCTCCTCTGTCCGCAGGGAGAAGCGGCCTCAGCCCGGGCCGGACGGGGGGCAGGGCGGGCGGGCACGGGTGGCAGCTGTGCGCAGCCCCAGACAGCCCTGCCGGGGTTCTGCTTTCTCTGCGGAGGAGGAGGGGGGCCTCGCTGCCGGGGGAGCGCGAGGTTGTGTGGAAAGACCAAGGACAGGCTCCGCCAGCAGGGACCTGACCCGCGCAGGGACCGGCCCGCCGCGCCCCTCCAGCCCTCGCCCTGCAGTCACTGACCGAGGCCAGGCTTAGCCCTGATTCCCTGCGAGGCTCCCACAGGCTCCCCCCGCCCAGGGTGGAGGCCCGGGACCCTCCCCCGCCCTCCCTCAGGCTCTGCTTTTGGTTCCTCTTCGCTGGCATCCCCCGCCCCCGCGCCCACCCCCGCCATCCTGGCCTGGGGCTGCCCTGCGCTTAGGCCTCTGGCTCCACATTCTCAGGGTCCCTGCCCATCTCCACGCCAGCCGGCACCCCCAGAGTCCCCTGCAGAGAAAATGGTGGCCTCTGCTACCTGCCGGCGTCTTCCCCAAGGATGGGAAGTGCGCTAACCCCGGGGGGACTTCTCTGGTGTCTCCCAGAGGGAGACGTCACCGAGGCCCTCAGATGCCACAGCTCTAGCTGGCCAGGCCTGGGTCAGAAGCCACCCCACGCCTCACCCCACAGACGGCAGCAGGCCCTGGCCCCCGGCCCTGCGCTCCGGCCGCTGGGGCTGTAGGAAGATCCCGAGGCTGATCTGGAGTCTCCCCCCGCCGCCCCCCCAGATCCCCAGGACAAGGCCCACGGCTGTCCCAAGTGGCAGGGCCTCAGCTTCCCTCCCGCCTCCCGCAAGCCTTCCTGGTGGCCAGAGGGCGAAGGTCCAGCCAGCCTCGCGCCACGCCCGTCCCGGAGCGCCCGTCCGGCAATCATTAACGCCGCGCATCTCGCGTGCCCAGCGGGCAGGGCCTCGCAGCTCCTTTCTGGCTGGCTGGGGGTGGCCGGGGCTTCGGGCGAGAGAAGCACGTGGGGGCCGCTGGCCCGAAGCGGAGGAGGCAGGGGCCCAGGTCAGCGGGGGCCAGGGCGCCGGTGACCCTCCCGCGCTGCGTCCCGGCACAGAACGGCAGGCGCTGGGGCCGGGCTGAGGCCACCTGTGTGACCTCACCTTGGCCGCAGTCCAGACCAGACGGGCCCTACCTACCCGCCAGGGCGCTGGTGCTGCCGTGGGCCCAGCAGGAGCCGCAGTACTGGGGGATGTGCTGGTTCCTGGTGACGCTGGCGTAGTTGACCCCCGCCACGTCGCGCCAGTCCCAGCTCTTGGGCAGGTCCCCCGCCGACAGGTACTCGTGGGGCCGGGGGTACGTCCTGGGGAGAGACCCCACCCGCGGGTCAGCGCGGGGCGCCCGCGCCTCTCCGCCCCCAAGCGCAGGAGCCCCCAGCCCGCTCAGGACCAGGAGGCAGGGCACCCCCAAAGCAGGAACCCGGCTGCGCCCCAAGCGATGCCCTGAGCCAGGCGGGCGGCCCGCGAGGCCTCCCCCGCCCGGCGGAAGGGCCAGCGGGGACCCCAGCCAGGGGCGAGGCCGCCCCCGCCCCCCCCCCGTCCCCCCGCCGCGCACCTGCGCCCCAGCCCGGACAGCCGGTCGGCGCGCAGGGCCTGGAAGCAGCCGCGGCCGGCGCGGAGGTGCAGCCCGGCCCGGCCCGCGCCCGCCAGCGCCACGAGCAGCAGCAGCAGCGGCCGCGCCGGCCCGGACGACGCCATGGCCCGCGCTCCCGAGCGGCCCGGATCCGGATCCGGACTCGGATTCGGTGCCCCTGCGGCCTCCGCCCGCGCCGGCCTCCCTCCCCGTCCCGGGCCCTTAAGGTGCCGCCGCCGGACACACCCCCGGGGCGGGGCCGCCGCCGCCCGCGACCCGCCCCGCCGCCCCGGGCCGTCCGGGCCGAGAGGGCAGCCCGGCCCGCCCGCCCGCCCGCCGACTCCGGGCCGGGCCGGGCCGGGCCGCGGGACTCGGGCCTGGAGCCGCGGGCCCCGCGCCCTCCGGGCCGCCTTCCAGGAGTGGCCAGGGACGCCCCCAAGCCCTGGGAGGGTGCGGGTCTGGCTTCCCGAACCCCACTTCCCCGAGGCCCAGGCCCGCGCCGAGGTGGCCGCCCTGTCCGAGAGGAGGGCGGGCCGTGGAGAACGTGCCCCGCCCGCAGGATCCCACCCGGCAGAGCCTCCTTAGCTTTGTCCCCCAAAAAGATGCTGACAAGACATTTATCATCAAATGGGGAACCAAAAGGGGAAGTGGGGAGGCCAAGGCGTGATTTCACAAGCGCCCCTGCTCCCCGCCGGCCACGGGGTGGGCTTCCGAGGACCCACAAAATGGCCTCCCCCATCCAGTCAGCACGCTCCCAGCTCGGGGTCTCCGGGCTCCCCAGCACCCAGCTGCCCACCACCTTCCCACAGCCCCCTCAGCCTGCCCCCAGCCAGCAAGCAGAAGCCAGAACAGCTGCCTTCTAGAAAATTCCGTGACCACCCAGGGCATCTCCGGGGTGACTGAGGGATCCTCGGGGGCTGGGACCCGAGCTGGCCGTGCCTCTCGGAGCAGAGCGAGGCCTCCGAGGCCAAGGCTGGCCCTGCCTTGTCAGCCCCGAGGGAAAGCCTGTTCCTGAAAAGCTGCTGCCTGGCGGGTATAGACAGGCCCTGCCCCGGCCGGCTCACTGTCCCAGGACATGGGCCGCCCCCGTCCTGTGAGGAGAGGCTCGCGTTTGTGCTGGGAGGGCCAGACCCGGGCCTCCGAGGCCGTGGGCCCAGCAGGTGCCCAGCCTGGAGTCTCCCCTCCCTGGTGAGAAGGGTGTGGGGTGGCAGCGCGGCCGGGACTTCCCTTCACCCGGGCGCCGGCGGTTTGTCCTCCGCGGGGGACTGTCCCAGGGGATACCCAGGGTGGGCTTTTGTCTCCTCTAAAGAAAAAACTAATGTTGCCTGAGAGCGGCCAGCCGGTCACAGTTTAGTGGGTGACAAATGTTGGGAGGACCCCGGTTATCAGGGCCATGCGTTTGACAGCCGGCCTGGCTGTGCCTCTCGGGGCAGAGGGAGGCCTCTGAGGCAAAGGCTGGCCCGGCTTTCCCAGCCCAGAGGTCGTCCTGCCCGAACAGGGCAGACACCTAGCTCAGAAGGGCCGGAGGAAGGCCCTCCCCTGGCCTCCGTGGCTGGGAAGCCGGGGGCCCGGCCCTGCGGTGGGCTACCACGCTCTCTCCCAGGGCACCCTTGGGAACCTCGCGGGGTTTCCCAGGAAGGCCCACCCCACAGGGGTCAGTGACCGTCAGGACCTGTCACAACTCCCCGCGGACACGTGGCACCTGCAGGGACAGGGCCCAAGGCCCGGCCCAGCCTCGGCAGGCAGGCACCTTCCACGCCAGGCATTCCAGACACGGGAGCTGTGGGCGGGGGTTTCCCCGACATAGAAGCACTCACACTCGGAACCTGGCGGGGCAGGGGGCGCCCCGATGTTGGAGCCCCAGCTTTGGAGGTGAGCAGAAGGAAACGAGGTGGACAGCACCACCCGTGGCGGGTCCGAGCTGCCAAGCGGGCCGGACCCTGTCCTGTGCTCTGAGCTAGTGCAGGGGGTGTCTGTTCTCTGGAGGCCGTGGGCTGCGTCCCCAGGGGGTCGCGGAGACCGTCCACAGGCCCGTTTCAGCAGAAGTTCTTCAACATGTTCCGTTGGGGGCTGGGGACAGAGACCCACCCCAGCCCAGTGTCCTCCCACAGATGGCGGGCCGGGCCGCACAGACACTGCTATTAAGAGGGCCTCGCAGAGGAAGGACGCCGAGAACCTGCCGGACCGGCCCAGATGCCTGCCAGGGCCCCGTTTATCTCCAGCCATCTGTCTTCAAAGCATCACCTGAGTGGCCGCGGGGACTTTGCCACCGCACAAGCAGGGTCCCCAGGAGGGCACACACAGCCTCTCCCGGGCGGTGACTCACCTGTCTGGCTGGAGTCTGGGAGGCTCAGGGTGGGGCTGGCACCTCTCGCCCCCCCCAGGCCCTCCTTGCCTGCCCCGCTTGGCTGCAGCAGCATCTCCCCAACCCCACGTGCCGCCCCCCCCACCCCATCCAGTGCCAGGAGGGTCAGTAGGGGCGGGAGAGCTTGGCGTCACCCCTGAAGCCCGTGCAGAGCTCCCTCCCTGGGAAGCCAACTTTGTGCCCGGGGCTCTCTTCCTGCCTGTGCCCGTTCCGCTCCCGGTGGTGCCCACACGCAGAAACGAGGATGTCCTGGAGACTCTCCCACTAGGTCCGCCCCGTCGGCACCGCAGCGCTGCTGTGAGGTGGGGCAGCTGCTACCGCCTGGTGGGAAGGCCGGGGTCCCGAGAGGTCGGGCTCCAGCCTCAGCCCCAGGTTCGTGGGTGGCAGGTTTGAACCCAGTGCCCCCCTTATTTTTACCCCACCAAGTCCCCTGCACCCGTGATGCCAGGCCACAGCGCACACGCCTGCTCATTCCTGAAGGCGCACGGGTCCTGCACGTGCTCCCCGGGAGGCAGCCCTGCCCCAGCCCCAGGAGGAGAGCCCGCTCCTGCCAGGCTGCTGGCTCCCAGCTACCTACGCCGTGCCCGCAGGGAGCGTCCGTGTGCCCGGCACCCCTGGGACAAGGACAAAGCAGGGCTCCCTGGAACCAGGCCCTCGGGGCGAGGGTGTGTGGGGCAGCCTCTGGCATGGCCAGTGTGCTGGGCTTGAGTGACAAGGACATCGCCGCGGAAAGCACTGGGCGGAGGCGGGGCGCACTCAAGGCCCTTGCAGTGATCCCCTGGGCGGCCCCCAATGGGTGCCGGTGCTCCCCGCTGGCTGCAGCTGCACCCCTGGGCTGCTGTGCTCTGGACCTGAGGCCGCACTCCCCACTGGCCATTCCCACCCTCGACACCCCACCCCTCTCCCCCTGGCTTGGTGTTGCCTGCGTCATGGGAGGGACCCCCCACCTCCGAGGGGCGGTGGACCCTGGTGTCAGCCAGTCTCCAGCAGGATGTGGGCAGGGGCCTGACTGATGTTTTCTAGGATCTGGCTGCCGTGGGGAGGGGGGTGGAAGGGGCAGGCGGCCCGGGTCACAGGCTTGCACCTCCTCAGGGTGGAGAGGGCGACCTTGGACGCCCGGGGCTGTCTGCGGGGAGGCAGGGCTGGCAGCACCGTTATGGACCAGCCGTGAGCAGGGGGAGCCCACTGGAGGCCTCTGGCAGCTGCCTCCGGGCGCCTGGAGTCAAAGACCAGAAACCCATCCCTGGTTTCGCCCGAGGCCCGAGCAGGCCAGCTCCCTCTCCGAGCCAGTTTCTCGCGCCCACAGAGAAGAGGCACCTTCTCGAAGGCGGTGCCTGGTGAGGCTAAGAGGCAGCGGGTGGAGGGTGTGGGACGGGCGGTGGAGGGGGCGCCGGGGCTGCCAGCGCGCTCTGTGTCCCCGGGGGCAGGACCCACATTTCCTACCCCTCCAGCATCCCCGGAGCGCCCCACATAGCCCTCGGCCAATACTTGTTGGATAAACACGCGGGTTTCCGGGACCCTCCGACGAGTCCTTGGGCAAACACGGCTTGAAGGGGCCCCTTGTTCACGCAGCTCCAGCTGCTGCTGCTTTGGTTTCCGCCTGGGGACGTCGCTGACCAGGCGCCGCGCACCGGGGACGGCAGTCATCGCCCCCGAGACGCGACGTGGCCACGTGCTTGCGCGTGTGCACAGAGGGATGGGGCTGTGCTCGTGCACACGCGTGTGCAAGTGTGTGTCCTACTGGAAATCGGACATGCTGGAGAGAGGGGAGCACGGGGAGCAGCCAGGAGGCCCCCGAGAGCCCCTGTGATGGCGTCTTCGGGAGTGTGGGGGGCCTCAAGCGCCCGTGTGGCCAGGAAGCCTGGCGTGATGGGCAACAGCCGCGTCCTCCTGGCCCCTCCCCTCCTGCGGGACTTACTTATTCATCCTCCCAGAACTTTCTCTTGCAGTGCGAGACGCACGTGGACGTCGAGTGGAAGAAAGTAAGCGCGGCTCCTCCGGCGGTCTGCCCACGCCGCTGAGTCACGCGTCAGGCCCCTCAGATGTCATTTTCTTGCTAAGACATTTGGAAAAATTTCTGCTTCTGAATCACGGGCAAACACTGTAATTCCACGCTCTTCTCCAAGTTAGTCAAGGAACCTCGGCGCCCTCGGGAGGGGGACAGGAGGGCGGGTGAAATCAGGGGCTCTCTGAGGGTTCTGCTTTCCTCCCAGTGAAACTCTGTGTGCCAAACGCAGGGGCAGCGGGTCCCACCGACCGCCGGGAGGGCTCCAGGGGGAAGTGTGGAAGCAGCTGATTTGGGGTTTCTGGGTGATGCTGGGTTTACTTATCGTCTTAGTTCTGTTCCCATAATAGACCCACGATGTCATCCAGGAAAAGCCTTGCTCTCCCGGCCCCTCCTCGTGGACAGCGCACTGCGGAGAGGGGCCCGCCTGGACTCCTTATCACCCCGGGCCCTCCATGCATGCCCCAGACGCCCCGTGCCCCCCGGACAGGCTCACTGAGCTCTGGGCTTCCACAGCACAGCCCACCTGCCTCTGCCGCAGGCTGGGGCCCACTTGTGTCTCTCATCACGGGTGCTGTGGTTTAGGGTTGGGGTCACCGGTGCCAGCCGGAGAGCACGCCTTGGTTAAGCCGCCTCTCCAGGGGCACCGCTGACCTGTCCTGGGGGAGGCCACTGGGCTGGCCTGAGGGAGGCGCGCTGCACCCTGGTCGATGCTTTTACGGCGCTGTGCCAGAGCACTGCTCGGCCTCCGGGCGCCTGCGTCGGCCAGGACCAGGGGCAGAGGAAGGCCGACTGCTGTTGGGACCTGCAGTGCTGTTTGCTCTGATGTGGCAGGCCCCAAGCCCAGGCCTGTCACCAACACACAGTAGGTGCTCGTGGCCTGGTGTGGACCCACACTTTGCAGAGATGCTGCAGGCCGCGGGGTGCCCCACGAGCTCAATCTTCCCACAAACCTGGGGCTCGGGACCTCAGGCCTGGGGAGAAAATTCAGGGAGGAGGCGCCCCACTCCCGGGTCTGGGGCCCACACAGCCTGCCCGCCCAGCATCTGCCCCACCCGGAGCAGCGGCTAAAGCTCAGCACTCGGGCAAGACTGAGTAAACACGGCAGGAAGGCAGGGAATCAAAGCAAACAGGGCTCCTCTCGTCCCCCTTTTGCCAACTGCCCCATTAATAGAAAAACCTTTTAAGTGTTTATCTGGAAACCTGGACTTTCCCCACCGAGCAAACTGAGATGACCAAGAGGAATGCACTGCGGGCGGAGGCGGCAGAGGGACCCCCGCCTGGCCTGCAAGGAAAGAACTGGGGGAGATACAAACGCCCCCTGGCCCCGGCCTGGGGCGGCCCACGCGACCCAGCCCCCGGGATCACACGGGCAGTCACGCCACCACCAACCAGTCATGCCACCAACCAGCCGGGGCTTCCGGGAACCACCTCTTAGGGGCTGCGAGGAAAGGCCCTCGGGCACCGCGCGCCCCGCCGCGTGAGGCCCCTGTAAGCAGCAAGCAGCGCCGCGTTATCAGCTTCCAGGGAAGTCGCTGCTCTCAGCAGGGCCGGGGCGCGCCAGCTGTTGGAGGGCACTCGGCAAACACGCGCTGAGGCCGTGCTAGGGAGCGGGCACTCGAGGACTCAAGGTGGCGTGACCGCAGCGGCTCCGGCTGGCGGGGAGATAAGGCCGGAGAACAGGCCATTAGTGACTCGGCGTCCAGATAACCGCGCGGCCGGGCCAGGCGGCGGGGGACCGGGGAGGTCACCGGGCTTCGAGGCTGGAGGGTGACAGTGAGGTTGCCTGGAGATTTGCAGGAGTCTGAAGAGCAGGGAGGGTGGGGAGGGCTTCGGGGGGGGGGTGGCAGGAAGCAGAACGGGGTTGGCGCCCCGGAAGGAGGGGGCGCCGAGCCCCGGGTGGCCCCTCTGCATTGCGCGCGCGAGTTGAGCTGACTCATGTGTCTCTTGACCTGGGGGATGACGGTTTGGGCCGGAAGCCTCTGCGCACCATGTGATCGCTCGGAACTGAGTAGCAGAACAATTCCAGCCTCAGAGAAACGGCGCACGAGGCATGAGCTTGCCGTGAACTCGGAGCGGTTTCGCCCGCTGTTGACATTCTGCTACTGGTGCGTGTCCTCCCTTGCTGGGCGGGGACTTAGGACTGTCCACGGCGGGCACAGCGACCCCCGACCCTGGACTTCACAGACTCTTCTGAAAACACTGATTTCCACCTGCTGAGCCTGGGGCACGAGCAAATCCAGCAAAGGTGACACGGCCACGGTGCTCAGCCAGCCGCCTGGCCACCCAGACACTCCCGGGCCTCGGGGCACGTCCCCTGGCCTGGGACTGCCCGTCACTCGGCTCTTCATCAGCACATGGGCTGTGAGGTTGCTGGACAGTGGGGGACAGCAGGGGTCCTGTGTGGACACAAAGTCCTTTCTGTCCTTGTCTGGGTTGCCCTTCCAGCACATGGGCCGTGTCCTTCGACTTTGTGGTTGACCTTTGGGGCTACTAGGGGTCATTTCCCCAGAGAGTCCACTTGGGTAATGTCCTTGGATCACTGACCGCACACCTCAGACCACCCTGGTGTCGAACGTGGTCAGTGGTGAATGTGGGACTGGACTGGGCGGCCCCCGGCCCCCACTGATGTCACTAGTCTGGTGAGAGGCAGGGGAGGGGGGACCGAGGACTCTCGCCTGAGTCCAGGTCAGTCCTGCCTTTGGACACGCACCCCAGGGGACTCCGAGGTCCCGTCTTCCTAATAAGTTGGCTCCATGGAAGGTGCTGAGAGCTCCAGGGCTGCCCATGGCTGCCTCCCTCATCCCTGCACCCCAGCTCCCAAGGGTACCAGGCAAGTTGGTGGGTGCCCGTTGACAGCTGGTCAATAACGGGGGCCAGCCTTAGGGTGTCCAGCAAATGCTGGAAAGAGGTCTCGAGAGGCAGGGGCTCGCTGGGTGGGGCTGCCTGCACCCTGGGGGCTCGGGAGGGAGACTGCCCGCTCTTCAGGGCAGCCAGAGCCCTGGCTCCTACCAGCCTTTCCCTCCTCCTTCCCCGCGGCTCCACTTTCCCTCAACTGAGGAAATCGGTGTCCACATCCTCTTGCCCAGGCAGTGGGTAAAATGACCACAGGAGCAAACACGAAGCCCATCTCACCCGACGTGGCCACCTCGGCGGCGTTACCGGCTCATGCCACGCGCTGCCCTGGGTGGGCGGCCAGGGAGAGGCGGGCCGGGGCCTGGGGACTCCGCGGCTGGCTGGGCTCTGGCCAGGCTGGGTGCCCTGAGCAGGGTCTGCTTAGGGGGTCAGTGCGATGGGCCCAGTGGGCGGCCAGGAAGGGCGCGGGGTGCAGCGGGGCTAACCCCGGCACGGCACCCGCCGGACAGCAGCGGAGCCACCTGTGGAGAGAGACGGCGCCGGCCTGAGCAGGGCGGTGTGAAGGCGCAGCCTCCCTGGTCACCTGGGGAAGGGCCGGGAGGGTCTGGGGGCGCGTGGTGAGCCCCGGGACTTAGATTTGCTCTGTCGATCATTCAGGAGTTCCCCAAGCGCCTGAGAATCACCTGCGGCCTTTACAGCCTTGGCCAAGCTCCAAAAGGAAACGGTAATAAACACTTTGTGCCCATTAACATGAAAGGGTACAACATACAAGTGAGGCCGGTGCACCCCCTTTCTCCCCCAGTGTCCCCTCGGGGCGCAGGGTCTCTCGGATAGCCCTGGGGAAGCCCGGCGGTGTCCGGGGGAGGCGGCTGCGTGCCGGGGGCCGCGCGCGGCGCTCAGGGAAGGTGTGGCCTCGCCTGTCCGGTGACGGGCCTGGACAAATGGGTTTCTGGTCGTCCAGTCGGCTGGGACGGGGCAAGCCCTTTGGGGGTGGTCGCCCGGGACCTAGAGGCCGTTGGCCAGCCAGCCGCTCTGGGAGTGCTCCACAGGCCCGCGGGGCAGGCCGCTGGGGGAGGGCCTGCCTGGGCCTGGAGGAAATGGCTGGGTGATATCTATGTGGGGAGAAGCCCCTCCCCTGCCCCAGGATGACAAGCAGGGAGGGAGCGGCCGGCCCAGGCCCCGGACACACCCCGGACACCCTGCCCGGGGCTGGATCAGCGGACCGTCCGGTCAGCGCGCAGAGCTGTGTCGGGCTTCGGTGGCGGCGGCAGCTCTCCCCAGGCAGGCTCGCGGCCCCGGCGCAGGCAAGGATGCGGGAAATTGTGCACATTCAGATCGGCCAGTGCGGCAACCAGATCGGAGCCAAGGTAAGGGGTAAGGAGGGGGTCACCACTGCCGGCCTTTGCAGGGGCGGCCAACCAAGAACATTCCCGAAGGCAGTAGGCCAGCAAGGAACCTGCCCCATGCACTTGCTGACGCCGCCTTATCGAGCAAAGCCTTTGGTTAAAGAGTCACAGGGGGCAGAAAAGGCCTAAAGGGTGACCTGAGGAGCACAGGGGACAGCTACTGTCCGGCTCGGGGCAGCCCGTTTCGCTCCCCTAGCACAGCAACAGGCTCCTCATGCCTGAGGACAGTTGTGTCTAAAAACCTCCCAAAGTTTGTGGGGACACTTCACCCTGTGTCACTACGCTGCCCCGCACCCCCCGCGCTTATTTTATAAAGTCAGAAAAACGTCAACTACTGTTCTGTCTAGTGGGCAACAGGACAGGAAAGGGGTAGCCCTGGAATAAAGTTCGTGTGGACGGAGCCGAGTGACCGAATCGCACCCTCTGAAATGGACACGGGCACATCCCCTGTCTTGAGCTTCTGGACATGGCAGCGGCTGTTCGGGCTGACGCTGGGGCGGGGGGCCGCCCTCCGGGCAGACTTGACACCCCGCGGTTGGCGGCTATCTTGACATGCTTTTGCTAGTAGAAATCGCCCTAAAAATCAGGTCTTTACCTTTTTCTAAGTTGTACTAAAATACACAGACCATAGACTTTAGCATTGGAACTATCTTCAGGGGTACAGTCCAGGGCTGTCCACTCTCCACATGCCTCTCCCCTGTGCTCCCCGCCCTGCCTGTGTGTCCTGCACGGAGGGTCGTGGCGGGTCCTGCAGCGAGCGGAGTTGCAGCAGAACACCGTGCAGTGGCTGGGGGCGGGGGCTGGGCTGTGCCTCGGCAGGCTGTGGTGGCTCCCCCACATCTGCTGACCCCACTGCGCTCATCAGCGATGCTCCGGTCACTTCCTCTTCTTGACTCTTCGGAATAATGTGGTCACGAAAAAACTAGAGACTTGGGGCAGGCACTGTTCCTGCTTGAAAGCTGCCAGCCCCGCGCCGCGGTGATAAGAGGTCTGTGACTGAGCCAGAGAAGTGGGGGCACGAGGCCCTGCTGCCCTGAAGTGGGGAGATAGTCGGGAGAGAGGCCGGCGAAGGCATGCGGGCGCAGATAGGGACCCGGGGCTCACGCAGAAGCCTGTCGTGGGGCACAGAGCCCCAGCCGTGACGTATATTTGAGGCCGTAAGAACTTTAAGACACATTTAATTTGTGGTGTCATGGAATTTAAATTTATTTATTCTTCCACCTCCTGAACATTGCTGGTAATTTACTATGAAATAGTGTCTTGCTAGTAAGACCAGGGCCAAGGCAGACCCATCATTTACCAGGAATACTTGGGAAAGCACCCTTGGGGATTTTAACATAAATGAATATATTTTCATTGCATTTTATATGCACTTCTCCATGGCAATGAAAAGGGGCCATCCCAGGAACTGCTCGCATGTTAAGAGCTTGGGACACATCCGTATTAATAAGCCCGCATGTGTGATTGGAAGTGTAGCGTGTTTCAGAGTCACCAGGGCGAGCTGGGGGTGGTGCTGAGCACTGATCATCAAAAATGCCCATTGTTTCAAATCCTACAGACGCCTCGTTATTTTAGAAACCCGCATGAGAAGAGGCCCCAGAGTGACATGAGATGTTGTTGTGATAGGAATTCCGTCTAGTTCCCCTTCCGGGGTCTCTACCGCGCTGGCCCGCAGCACTGGAAGGGGAAGTAGAGCTACATGGTCTGACGTGAAATTCGAAAATGATAGCTTTGCCGGCGGCCGCGGGCCGAGTATCACAGGAGCAAAACCAATTTCACATTTGGCGTGTTGTGTCCGCGGACTTTGGGTGGGCTCGGTCCTGCCTGGTGCAGGCGGGAGCGAATCCAGCCACAGGGTGGGGTTCTGCAAAGTCCCACGAGCGACGCCCGGGACAGCGCTGAGCGGCTGCCCCTTCGACCCCCTGGCTGCCGCCAGCCTGCCGTTTCTGGGGCGCCTCGCCGCTGACGCGCCCGCCTTCTGCTTTCAGTTCTGGGAGGTGATAGGCGAGGAGCACGGGATCGACTCGACGGGGAGCTACGGCGGGGACAGCCCCTTGCAGCTGGAGCGGATCAGCGTGTACTACAACGAGGCCCACGGTAGGGTGGGGGTGCAGCCGGGGGCAGCAACCCCCGGGGGGTGGCCCCTAAGCCCTGGGTGGCGCCGTGACCCCAGCGGAGAGGTCACGGGGGTCTTACCACCGGCCCTTAAGCACTGACGCTGTTTTGCGTGTCAGTGAAAACCAGGGTCATTTCCGACAGCAACACGACCCCGGCCGCTGGCGATCTGCCATGGAGAGGACGCGGGGACGGCCTCCGGGGGACGGACTGGCGGGTGGGGTGGCGTCAGGGTCAGGGATATGATTTCCCGTCTCCACCGAGCCGCCTCCTCGCGTGCCTTTTCTTTAGGCCTGTTCTGATGAAACATTCACTTCTAGAAAAACAACAGCTTGCTGACTTCCGCTCTTCCCACGCAGGTAAGAAGTATGTGCCCCGGGCCGTCCTGGTGGACCTGGAGCCAGGGACCATGGACAGCATCCGGTCCAGCAAGCTGGGTGCCCTCTTCCAACCGGACAGCTTTGTGCATGGTAGGCATTTGGGGAAGGTTCCACCAGGAAGGGTGGGGGAGGCCTCTCGGTGGCCCCTTCTCTGCCCCCGACCTCCCCCACCACCCACGCTCCGAGCAGGGTCTCGCTGAGCCCCTTCCGCCACAGGTAACTCGGGCGCCGGCAACAACTGGGCCAAGGGCCACTACACGGAGGGCGCCGAGCTGGTGGAGGGCGTGCTGGACGTGGTGCGGCGCGAGAGCGAGGGCTGCGACTGCCTGCAGGGCTTCCAGGCCGTGCACTCGCTGGGCGGGGGCACCGGCTCCGGCATGGGCACCCTGCTCATGAGCAAGATCCGGGAGGAGTACCCCGACCGCATCCTGAACTCGTTCAGCGTCATGCCGTCGCCCAAGGTGTCGGACACGGTGGTGGAGCCCTACAACGCCGTGCTGTCGCTGCACCAGCTGGTGGAGCACGCCGACGCCTGCTTCTGCATCGACAACGAGGCCCTCTACGACATCTGCTTCCGCACGCTGAAGCTGACCACGCCCACCTACGGCGACCTCAACCACCTGGTGTCCTTGACCATGAGCGGCATCACCACCTCCCTGCGCTTCCCGGGCCAGCTGAACGCCGACCTGCGCAAGCTGGCCGTGAACATGGTGCCCTTCCCGCGCCTGCACTTCTTCATGCCCGGCTTCGCCCCGCTCACCGCCCAGGGCAGCCAGCAGTACCGCGCCCTCTCGGTGGCCGAGCTCACCCAGCAGATGTTCGACGCCCGCAACACCATGGCGGCCTGCGACCCCCGGCGCGGCCGCTACCTGACCGTGGCCTGCATCTTCCGGGGCCGGATGTCCACCAAGGAGGTGGACGAGCAGCTGCTCGGCGTGCAGACCAGGAACAGCAGCTGCTTCGTGGAGTGGATCCCCAACAACGTCAAAGTGGCCGTCTGTGACATCCCGCCGCGGGGCCTGAACATGGCCGCCACCTTCATCGGCAACAACACGGCCATCCAGGAGCTCTTCACCAGGGTGGGCGAGCACTTCTCGGCCATGTTCCGCAGGAGGGCCTTCGTGCACTGGTACACCGGCGAGGGCATGGACATAAGCGAGTTTGCCGAGGCCGAAGGTGACATCCATGACCTGGTGTCCGAGTACCAGCAGTTTCAAGATGCCAGGGCGGTTGTGGAGGACGATGAGGTCGCCGGGGAGGTGGAGATGGAGTCGGGCGACCAGCAGCTGGCACCCTGAGGGAAGCCGGGCGTGCCAGCTGTGGGGCGGGGTCACGACCGTTCCTCCTGGGAGGACGCTTCCCTGCAGCCCTCCCTCGCCCACTCAGGAGGAGCTGACAGCCACTGGGGTGGGGCGAGGAGAAGACAGGGCTGGGGCCTGCCCACACCCGCTGACCTCCAGAGCTCGATCTCAGTGCACTCCCGTCACCCGTGTGGCCAGCACGCGCCCACCGCAGAGCACTCCCTTGGCGGAAAATGCACTATTTTGTCTGCACAGCCCCGGGCCAGGCAAGGCGGGCCTGCATCTGTGAGCTCCTCCGCGGCACCGAGAGGTGCCCTGGGATCCTCTCCTGCGTCCTGGGGCTGCTCAGGCTCATCCTCAGGTCCCCTCTCGTCAATCCCGCCGCAGCGTCCCACCTGAACCTGCGCCCCGGAAGGAAGGCGGGGGGCTGCCGGCGGGAGGTACCTGTGGGGCTTGAGTCGACATCCCCGGGGGGCGCGTGTGGGCTGTCTGCACGCTCACTGGGAAGGGACAGGGTCCTCTCCACAAAACTACGCGGCCAAAAAGCCCCCAAACCAGCACATGACAAGCAGGATGGAAGGCCGCCAAGCCCCTGGTCCTCTCCCCGAGGAGCTGCCCGTGAGCTCACACACAGCTAACCCCACGGTGCTCTACGTTGTCTTAGTGGGCAGACATGCTTCTCATTAGTGTGAGGTTCTGGAACAGTCATTAATACTCATCTTCGGTTTTCCTTTAAAGGCGACTTGAAATGCCCTTTTCACTTTCGGTCAGTAATTACCTTTGAAAATGCGCCTCAGCCTCTCCGCGGGCTCAGAAAGGGCGGCTGGCGGCCGTCAAGTGCAGGAATGACGCAGCCGCGGCGCAGTGTCCTTCTCTGCTACGGGGGACATAAGGGGTCTCATTAGGGGACTTTCACAGTGCAAATTAATTTGCAGAAGTTGCCATAATGCTTGCCTGATGACACAGCTTTACCCACGCCACGATCTTAATCTGCGCACATTACAACAGGGCCAGACACATGAGTGGGATCGAGTCATCCCTAACTTCTTAATGACAGTTTACCTACTTCTGACGCGGGCCCGGCCTCCCCGCCAGGGCGTCATGGCCTCGTTACCACTGAGCTCCTCTCTGCTCCGGGGGTAGCCGGCGTGGGACAAGCACCGTCCTCACCGCAGGCCGGGATGGCTCCGGCTGCCCTGGTCATCCGTGACAGCAGGGGCGCGGGTGGAGGCCATGGCGGCTCCCTCTGGGAAGCTCCTGCTCTCCCGGGAGCACCGCGAGGAAACCGCGGAGCCGCAGACCGAGGGGAGGCGTGGGCACCGTGACCAGCCTTCTCTTCCCCAAATTAAAAAAAAGTTTGAGACGCTTTTTGTGACGCAAGAAGCGCGGAAAACAAAGCAGAGCTCCCGAGAAAGCGCACCTTCTTAGCTCGACGCCCGGCTTCCTCGGGGGCTTGCAGTCTCAGACTTACGGCCTGTGATGTTTCTGTAAGAATTTACACACCTCTTCCTCCAGCACGTTCTCAAATCTAAAAAGGCAATTGAAAGAGATACAAGGAAGGACATAGATCTAAGTTTAAAAAAACAAAACAATAAAACTTGTGCTCATCTATATTCCCGTAAAGGTTTTTGTTTGCTCAATAGTAGGAGTTAAATGATAAAGAGATTCAATTTTGAATGGCTAAATTGTTTTATGTCAGACTAAACAAATCCTGCTCCTTCGGCGCCTAACCACCCCGACTGATTCATTTGAGCTGTTAAAAATATTTCAAAATGCGTCTCACCGCCCTGCTCTTGAGGAGGGTAGAGCCAGATGGAAACAAGAGGCTGGGTGCCTGTTGCTACCCGGGCCCTCGGGTTGGACCTGCTCAGTTGCTCCTCTGGCCCGTGGTTGCTACGGCGACAGGGGTCTCTGAGCCCCAGAATGGATCAGAAATTTAGAGCCCGGCAGGTCCCTTCACTTCACACACACAGCACCACACGGGCGGAGAGACCGGCCCTCGGAGGTCATCCGAGCGCTCAGTGCAACACCCACACCCCGGTCTGAGCTGGTCCCCAGCGGCTTGGAAGCAGTGGTCCCACCGGGCCCTTGGCAGGGCCGGATGCAGCAACTTTATTTCATCATAGTAGCCGCCCATGGTGTTTTTATTTTTTAAATCACAGTAAGAATCTCTGCTGGGCAGACACATTTTTGTCTTCTATTCAGTCACTCTAATCCTATCCCCATCGCAAGCCCAGTCCCTGAGTCTCACCTCTAATTATCCCATCTGCCTCCCTACTAAATGACTTCTCCCTAATGGCCTGGCTGGAATTCATTCAGCCCTGGGCCTGTCAGTTACTTTACTCGTCTGGTATGAAAAAGGCCTGACAGCCTGTGATTCAATTATCCCTGAAGATGCTTCCTAGTACTGCATCTTGGGGACCAAAGCAATCAACTGGGGTGCTCCGACTTTGAAGCAGGGGGATGGTCTGGAGGCTCAGTGCCCGGAGCCTACTGTCCAGCGCCCGGAACGAAACAAGCCCCTCAGGTCAAGCGTCTGGGGCTGGGCCTGTGTGGGAGCTGAGAACAAAGATACTTTCTCAGGCTCCTGGGTGGCGCGGCTGAGGGGCCCTGATAAATGCTTCTCAGCCGGAGTGCCAGGCCAGGGTGGCCCTTCAGAATTTTACTTCAAATTTATTTCTTCATTCTCCAAAACTAGTTAAAATAAGCAGTCAGCTTTGCGATGGTATTTGGCTTGGTCAAGTGTTCGCAAATGTCAAAGACAAAACACCCACAACAATTCCTTCCCCTCAAATATTTGAATGAATGAATGACACCCCCCTCCCAGGCGGCGAGCCCAGAGGGGAACCTCAGACTTTGACTTCAGCTCGGCCAGCCTGTCCCCTCGAAGCAAGTCGTGGCCCTGCTTTCGCTCACTGCCTAGAGAGCCGCCAGCAGGACGATTTACCTGTGAAACCACGTGTGTCAAAGCGTTTTTAGACACCAACGTGACCGCTTGCTAGGGGTATCAAGTGCACCCGTAGGTGCGCCATGTGCCGCCAACACGCACTCAGCTCCTGCAAGTCCTTTGGGTTGGCCATAGGCTGGGCAGCCACGCTGCAGGCAGGGGAGGACGAGCTATGGCCACCCAGCCCTGTCCCAGATGTGCCTCCCGACACCCCGAGACAAGGCGACGAGTCCGCTCCATTAGTGTCATGGAAGAGAGAACCAGGTTTCATGGTGTTGTGCGTGCCCTTTTGGCTCTAGACTGCACAGGGGGCTGTTCCCACGGCCCCAGCCAGCGACAAACAAAACCACCAGCAAGAGGGAAGCAGAATTCAATTTATTGATATTGTCAATCTACCAGCAAGACAGGTATTTTTTTTTTTTTGACTTGAGATGGTTTCCAATCCGCCATAACGTGCGCCCACACATCTTCACCTCGAAAATGGAGCATCGTAAGCTTTAGTCAGGGTCTAGGAGGAAAAGAGAAATGCCACAGTTGGGACCTTTTAGGTTTTCTCAAAGCTTCAGCATGAATAAGGGAAACACCTTCCTTAGGGCAACGCGTGTAACGCAAAGGGGACCTCGATGCCACAGCGGTGCTGGGCCTCAGCTCCTGGCTGGAAGTGGGGGTTCACATGCGTGGCGAAGGCGTTATGGGCACTGATGCTAATCACACAACCAAACACCAGCCTAGCAGTCAGACCATTTTACCTCTGAAAGATACTAAACACGCCCAGGGCTGATGCCGTGGGAGCTGTGCCCCCTGCAGCAGGGGTGGAGAGCTGCTGTGTTTCCTGGAGCCTGACTGGGCTTCCTGACCCCAAGGACACAAGGTCAAGGGAGTGAGCGCTGAGTTTGGCTCTACCGTGCTGCTGAGCGGGGCTACGTGATTTTCTCAGTTAGCTCATTGTTAAAACAAAACCACCCAACATAAAAATGGGTCTCATTACTCAGAATTATGAGATTAGACAGAGAGCCCCTAGAAAAAGGGCGACATTCAAAACACCACATCTCCAGACTTGTAATAAAATATTTACTAATTCAAAATGAAAATGAAAAGTGCTTAAGGGAGACAGTTCCAATAAGTAAAATTGCTCATAACCACAAGCAGCCGAAGGATTAATATTTATCACGTTTCCTTGCCGCTGCTTGTCTGAAGCTGTTAGAGCAAAACAAAAAAATTAAATCTGAAAAACAGCTCCCTGGTAATTTGCTTTGCTTATCTTTGAAATAACAATGTCAAGAGTGGCTTGGAGACCAAATCACTTTAGTACTTTGGAGCACAAAAGTCTGAACTTATCAACTTGTACAAAACTGTTTTTTAGTGCATAAAACATAACTTTACATTACCAGTATCTTTAGAGAAGTAAAATGAACCAAACACTGAAAATATAATAAACTTAGCAACAGCAGGGTCCACTGTAGAGTCCTGCAGATTTCACTTCTTGATAAAATAGCGGGGCCCTCGCCTGTACTTGCAGGCCTTATGCTAAGGAAGGAGGGATCTGTGGGAACAGTAGCAGACAGGGGGGAAATACAAACTCAGAGAACTAATTTTTCATGTTCCTGAACTGCTATGTAACTCCAACAGCAATTACAAAAGTGGGGAGCTGATCCTCCAAATTATTTGATTTTGTGCAGACAAATGAAACAGGTTTAATTAAAATAAGACGGCTCTCCACCTAAGCCTCGCTACATGAACTGACAATCAATGTGCCAACGACTTCTCCTTATCAGGGCCCGAAAGGACATCACTCTTCATTATGCCGCAGGACTCCCACACCTGTATGCTTCAAATGATCACACCACTGCTTCTGAGTGGAGTGTCTGGCCCCAAAATGCACAAGTCCAGCTAAAAAGTACTTTGATCTTTTGGCAGTGCCCTCAACATGTAGGGTGCAACTCTTCTTGCAAATAAATCATCCACTTACACATTACTCCTTTTTCACTTTCACAATTTTCACACTGCTGCCGGAAGTCTTCTCGGCGCTGGTTTTGAACTCTGACTTGAGAGCATCTCTCACTGCTTTTGCGCAGATCTGGGAGTATCGGATGTAGCTGGAAGGAAAGGAGAGAGGAAGAGTTGCTTTTTCCCCTGATCCACCCAGACTGGCTTTATGATCGCGTGCCGGTCCTCTTACACGCTTACTTTGGGTGTGGGAAGGCACTAGCGAGAGCTGGGTTTCAAAAGGAATCGGCACAAAGCAAGAGGGAGGAGAGCTGTCGGGGGAGGGGTGCTCTGAGGTGGCCCCGTGCAGGCTGTGTGGACCCCGCCCCACGCCGTCACGGGTGTCAGGCTGGGCGACCTCCGGGCCTCCTTCTTCTACTGCTGCTTCTCTTTGACTTTGACTTAAGACAAAGCAGCACAGACTCTGCTGGCCGCCTCACCACTCGAGCGAGCTCCCCGTCGTCTCCTCCAGCCCCTCCCGCACGGTCCGCACGCGCCGGGCCCCGGCCCCTCCGGCACGGGCTCCGCGCAGGCCCCCGGGCGCGCGCTCTCCCGGGCTCCGCAGCTCGCGGACAAGGCCGGAGGCCGCCGCCCCTCGGCGACACAGCGCCCAGGCCGCCCCCGCGGGGCCAGGGGCGCCCCCCGCCCCCCCGCAGGCTCCGTCCCGGCCGGCCGGGACCCTCGGCGGCCCCGCGCCCCGGCCAGGTCGCGGCGTGCGGCCCGCCCGGCCCCGGCCCCGCCGGGGGAGCCGACGCGGGGCGCCCCTGCCCGGGTCGGGGGTCGGCGGCCGCCGCCATCTTGCCGCCCTCCCCGCGCCCCGCGGCCCGCCCCGCTCCCGCGCCGGCCGCCCACCTGAGCCCCGCCTGCCGCCAGTAGGCCACCATGCTGCCCGAGCCGCGAGCCGCGAGCCGCGAGGACGCGTCAATGTCGGGCCGCGAGCCGCGGCAGGAAGGTCAGGCCGGGGAAGCGGAAGGGGCGGGGCCGCGCCTGCCCACCCCGCCCGCCGCGCCCGCCCCGGCCCTGCCGGCCGCCGTAGCGCCGGGCGTGGGGAGCGCGCGCCCGCCCCGCCCCCACGGCCCCGCCCCCGCCCCGACGGCCCCGCCCGACGGCCCCGCCCCGCCTCGACGGCCCCGCCCCCGCCCCGATGGCCCCGCTCCGGCCTCGACGGCGCCGCCAGGACGCGCGGGCGAGGCCGCCCCGGAGCATGGCCGACCGCGAGGCGCGGGAGAACCCCCCGGGGCCAGACGTGTGTGCAAACGGTTTCCTCCCCGGGGCCCCGACAGCAGCGGGTCCCCCCGCCCGCGCGGGGCGTCGCTTAGGGGAGCCTGACGTCAGTTGTGGAGCCCACTGCGGTTACGAAAAATAACCATCAACCTTATTTAATTTAATTTGCCGTTACAAGTGTCCTAAGAAGGCTCCAGCTGAACAACATGCAGGTAGAAAACCCTAGTTCCGGCCCGCCTTCCCCGGGCCCTGGTCGGGAAACCGCCGACGGGAGGTCACCCCGCGGAGCAACAGTAACATAAAGGCGAGAGCTCGTGAGTCTCCACGGAAGGACTCCGTGTGCACCGACCGCAGCCCGGACACCGAGTGGCGGGCAGCCGCCGCTACCAACCCGCCGAGAACACTCACCGCCGCGCCGGGCCGCGCCCTCGGGCCGGGCCCACGGGCCGGGCCCAGGCAGGCCAGGCCCGCACGTCAGCCCTTTCTTCTGCTGTCTTCCCTCCGCCCCCAGCCCCTGCAGCGGCACCGTATTATTAAAAACGTTAAGTACCTGGGATTTATGCTTCAGATCAAGACGTCTGAGTAATTTTAAATGATGTACAGCTCTTCATGGAAAAATGATGTTTTGTGGTCACAATTACTTCAAAAAGTAATTATATTCAAATAACCTGACATATCATGCTTTAGCAATTACAGAACCATGATTTTGACACATGGCAATTTATAAGTTAGGCAAATGTGAAATGCTGAAAGATGTGAACAGCTGTTCTTCTGTTTAAGTTTAGAGCGCTGCAAAATTCCGGTAAAGACTATTTTTTCAGTTAACATAACCAGCCTACAGTACAGCATGTGAAACCATCAAGTGCACTTCCAAGGAAGCTAATAGCTGTACTAAGTCACAGAACTTTGGCAAATCAATCCAGTACTCTTTTATACAATAAAACCCTGTTTTTGTTGGAGTCATATATTACTTTAGTGATAATTTTCACTCCAAAAATGTAATTCAAATGTAATTTAAGTACCAAATGAAAACACTGTGGTTTTTAATGGTGGTTTACAGAAGAGCGAATTATTTTATACAATTTAAGGTCCTTCAAAACTAGGCAATTTCTCCCTTGAGCGCAAGTCCGCTCAAGCAAGCTCTCAGCTGTCCCCACAGGGCCAGGGTGGCAGGCAAGGGGCTGCGCTTGGGTGGGGCTGGCACAAAGCCAGGGAGAGTACCACTGTGTGAAAAGCCTTTACATTCTGCCTAAAGGAGATTTCATATGCCAGTGCCAACTTCCAAAGTTTCCAAAGCTGCTGATTTCCACATAAACACTGGAATCCTCAAAATCAGAGGGTCATTTCAAATAATACTCATTTTGGATGATCCCTTTTAACTAGAAGCCCAGCACCTCTTTGTTTTGATCAAAAGTCACACAGCCTTTCTTCAGCTTATTAGAAAAACATTCTATCCAAAATATCGTCGTCTTTTTAAAAATAACAAATAAATACACTGCCAGCTTGGAGGACCCGGTGCGGGGTGATGCGCAGACTCATTTCTCCACAAAGGCCGCAGCAGCCATCGGGGTCCTGATGCTTCCTCTTGCAGAGGCCGTCAGCTCCTCAAGCTCCGCGTTCAGCTTGTGTATCACCCACTCCATCGCCTCTCGGCCCTTAGAGAGTCAGCACAGGGAATGTTACCCAGTCACATCTGAAACCAGGGACCCTCGGGAAGGAACAGGAGTCTAACAACAGGGACAGCTGATTCCCTTTTCTCCTTTAATGTCATTTACCAATTATCAACTGCCTTGAGCAACTGGCTTGAAGATGAATCTACCATTAAATGACAGTAATCTCTTACTTATTTCATGACTAGTGTTCCCCCTTTTTAGAGATGAAAAAAAGGTCAAATGCCTTTTTAAAGTCCTTATTTCAAACCAACCAAAATCCGGTACAAGGGCTGACCCTCAGCACCGCTCTGGGTGCTCTAGGCATTCCTCAAGGGAAGGGAGGAGCATCTCATGCTTGCTCTGCTTCAGGGCATTCGGCCCCTGCCCTGAATGCCCTCTGTCCCTCACTGAGCACACAGCAGAGAAATCTCTTACCGACCCTCAGAAAACACTAACTTCTCTGCACTGTTCCTCAGACTCATGTAATTAACATGGCCTTCCTCTTAGTTCCAGAGGGCAGGTACCATGCCTGTTCTGCACCCTGCTGTGCCCCTGGTCTGGCCTAGCTTTCTGCGTGGAACAAAAAAAGCACCTACGAATCAATTTTGACTACTGAATTATTATATTAAACGTGTCATAAAACACTGCATTAAGCCTCTGTTTCCCTAAACTTACCTAGTTTTAAATCATGCATTCTTAACGGGGGAAAAATTAGTTTTGTGTGTGTGGAAATAACCCTCTTCTTTTTTTAATGTGCAAAGCACAGCCATTTATCTGTGGTGGTAAATGATAGGTTCATAGGGATGGGGCATTAGGGAAAAAATATTAAAGGGGATCTGGGGGCTCGGGGGAGACCACAATGAGAAGACTGGATTCGCTACTCCAAACAATGATACACTGTTGACCACCTTGTATTCAACCTCGGTGGGGCCCCCAGCCATTCCATCTTGAGCTCTCTCATTCCCTCCCACGCCCAGCCCTGTACAATGGGCCATGAATCTGCACTCACTGGGGGAGGAGGGGCACAGAAAGGTTAACTTAACTGCCCAGGGCTGAAAGGCTGGAAAGAGGCAGTCTGGATGTGAACCCAGACAGCGTGGTGGAGCCAGCTTATAAGGGCAACACCTTCAGCAGTAAGCGCTTTCAGAACCCCCTAGAACGAAGGCCATGGGGCGCGGCCGCCTTACTTTACTCGCATTGGAAGATATCGTGCTCGCCATGAGGCCTTCGAGGTAGCTGCTGAGACTGACCCCCTTCACAGTGATGATGGCTTCCTGAGTCAGGACAGTTCTGGAACAAAACCCACACAGCTTTACAATGACCCAACAGTCACTTAAAGAGAAATAATTGATCAAAAAATTATAATGCTCCAAAAGAGAAATAATTTTAAAAGTATTTTTACTCACTTTTCCGGGTCTTGAGGATGTGGCTTGTATATCAGTCTCTCGTCTACTGAAACCATATTTGTAAATGAAATCTGTGTATGAGAAAAAGTCAAATCATTTTGGAAACCAAGATTAAAAAATTTCCAGAATTCACAAACCAAAACCTTATCAGCTACACACACAAAACAACAAAAAGCAGTAAATAAACCACTTTGACATGACTGTGTAGACAGGATGTAAACTTTGCTATTCATTGCCTATTTTTTATTAAAAAGTAAATTTGACAAAACTACAATAATAATCACAATATGCAATGACCCCAATTTGCCTTCCTGGGCGTGCCCCTAGAAAGTAGCAGCAGCCCCGGCAGTCGGGGACTTGGTGCCGGCAGGTTAAGACCCCGAAGAGGGGATGCCAACTCCCTGAACACCCTGAGAACATGTGGGCTTCTGCACAGCAACTATAACAATTAAGTCAAATGGCTTAAGATTAAAATAAAGAGGGTGGCACAAGGGATTGAGTCTCAGTGCTCTCAAGCTATCAGCAGCCACTCTCTGGCCAGGGAGCTACCCCACATAGTGCAGCAGACCTCTCCTGTCTCACCCGCTGCTCCCCTCAGCAGTGGATTTCAGTCAATCTGCCTGTTCTGCTCCCCACTCTGTTTCTGGTGAATCCTCTCAGTCCCTTCCCTCTGGCCTGCACCTCAGCTCTTGCATGCATGCATAAATAAATAAATCTTAAAAAAAAATGAGAGGGAGCCTAAACTTACATTAGTGGATTTCAGTTCCATTGTTTTCTCTATGGGATCAACTACAGAATGTTCTTGCACATACGTTTTGGTTCTTGCCGCACCAATAAGCTAAACAAAACATTCAGAATTAGTACTCAGAGGAGGCAGGACTTCTTAACAAGTGTATCACAACGAGTGTATCAACATTTTACTTGAAGGTAAAAATGCATTAACACCTTGCACCAAAAATCTGTTTCATCAAAAGCACGAGGCATCAGACAAAGGTGGAAGGGGAGGCCTGTCTGAAGCCCCAGGAACTCACACTCATGGGTGAGGTGACACTGCCAGACATAAAACCCTTCCCGGAGGCCACCAGCACCCGCCCATTGGCGCGGGCAAACACGACCCTGGGAGGAAGGAGAACTCGAGAGCCTGATGCAGCGGGGTGCCCGCCTCCCCCCCAGAGACAGGGTTCCCCCAGGAAGACACTGCCTGCATCAGAGGCACTTCCTGTGAGCGATCCCCAAGTCCATCCATGGCCTCGCTCATGTCTGTGCCCACCAGCTCGGGAAGGGGTTCAGAAAAGGAAGCCGCCTGCACCTTCCTGTGGGAAACTGCATACTTTAATTTTCTGAGTGGACTGATAAGCTTCTAGAAAGAGATCCCAGAAAACTGGGTCCACTTATACCCAAGCTCGCTCCCATGATAAACCAGTTTCTTGCTGGTTCCTCTGGCTGGCGGCAGCCTGCTCCCTTGTGAGCAGACAGGAGTGTTTACAAGGATGGGAGGACCAGACCTGGCAAGTCCCAGGACGTGCCCTCACTCAGCTCTGCCACCGCTGACCACGGCCTCTGCTCCACATCGGGCCTCGCTTTCAAATCCCGCCGTGGTGTCAAGGTGGCAAAGAGGAACGCCCTCCTTCTGGCCCCTCACGGAGACTGTGAGGTCGCTGCCCATTCACGGCGCACGCACAACTCAAGTAGTGAGCAGAACGGGTGCAAACAGGGCATCCAGAAGCGACCCCCACCTCTGTCTGGACTGAAAATGCGGCCCAGGAGACGTCTCCCCACAGCCCAGCTCTCGCAGGGGCGGACACTCACAGACTTCACAATGGAAGGCAGTCCCCACTCGGTGCTGAGAAGCCTGTGGCTGTGCAGCTTCCCCAAGGAGTCCACATGTCTGTCCAGCACGTCCACGCCGACCACACTGGGGTTCATTGGGTTCGGGTACTTCTGCATTGCAGCTGTAGTGACAGTTTCCCACGGGTGGCTGCCGACGGGAGCAGAGAGCAGGAGTTGATGCCGCTGCCTCCAGTGCAGCCCTTGCCACAGCCCAGCAAATTGTTCTCTGCAACTGAAGTTTAACTACCCTACCCACGGAAAATTATTATTTTTTAAAAAGATTTACTTATTTATATAAGAACTGGGGTACAGGCCAGATGTGCAGGAGGGTGAGAGGATTCACCAGAGACAGAGCGGGGAACAGAACAGGCAGACTGACGAAGTACACTGCTGAGGGGAGCAGCGGGGAGACAGGAGAGGTCTGCGGCGCCATGTGGGATTCTCGCGGCTGGCCAGGATCGAACCGGTGCTGCAGAGGCTGCGGACAGCTTCACGGTGCGGCGCTCAACCGCCTGTGCCACCGGGGAGGCCCCAGAAAATTATTTTTTGAAACACCGAATGGAAGGTATTTTGGGGGCTCCATCTCCAGGTGAACACACCCAGAGGGCTCTTCCCTGCACACAGGCCTGGGGCGCGATCCCCGAGGACTAGCCCAGGGCGCCGGAGCAGGCCAGACACCCATGTCCACCCTGTGCCAACTATTTCTAGGAACCACAAACTCAAAAATCTATCTAAAAATGATGTTCTACGGACACGAGCAGCGAAAACGATGTTGTTGTATTTCTCCCTTTGCCGGCCCCCGTGCCGGGAGCTCGGAAGAGCGGCAGGAGCGCAGCAACTTGCCGTGCTGCGGGTTCTGAAGGGTGACTGACAGGGTCCAAAGCTCTACTGATCTACAGACCGTCATATTGAAAATGCATTTTTCTCTCTATTAAAGTAATAAATAACAGTGGCCCCTCCAGTCACTCTCCACCCACTGCTCCCTCAAGGGAGTGATCTGATTTCTGTTGCAAAAAGATCCCTCGGAGGAGCACGCGTGGTCCAGGCGCCCCAGCGCGCTGCTTGTGAACCCCGCGTAATACCGACCGCCTGGTGTCCGGGAGGGCTGCGACGGTAAAGGGCGCCTGGAAGGCGCAGGACCTTTATTTTCTGGAAAATGCGCCTGCGCTTGGGTGAGTATGTCTACCCGCTTTACAGCCCATGCGAGTAGGAGGCGGGTACAGAGTGCAGGGCGCCACAGCCGCGGGCGTGCATGCAGGGGGCCGGCCTCCCGCCGCTGCGTCCTGCACTCTGTGCTTCTTTGGAAGGAAAAGCAGCACCTGGGTGTGCACTTCAAAATACACTCACTGATAAACCGCACAGCATGACCTTTTATGTTCCGAAAAGCCAAGCAGGTAGGCATCAATCTCCTGCAACCTTTCAGAGAACTGAGTCTGACCACTCCTTGCAGCAGGAAGGCCCCAGATGACTGGTGACATTATTTTTAATGTTTTCATTTCTCTTATTTTAGATAAATGAACCTCATTCTGTTTTAATCTCCAGCCTTTTGCAGCAATCAGTGCAGGTACCCAGGTGGAGTGGCTTCACCTATCTAAACGGCCCCCACAAACGGAAGTGATGCAGGCCAAGCACGGATTGTTACCAAGGCAACTATCTAAAATGAAAATGGGATGCGCCCTTTCCCTGTCTCCCTGCAGTCACACACCATGGTTAGCTGACTCCTCGCACTTATCGCTTACCCCGCCCCCTCTAAAAAATTAGTAATTGCACGGCTGTAGGGTGGTCATGCATGATGTGTGATTTAGTCCTCCCTCCTCTCCAGCCAAGTTGAAAACGTGGACTGAGCTGCTTTGTGAAACAAGCAGCGCTCATGCATCGCACAAGATGCACATTACAATGACAGTCTGCACATTACAACGAACAGTCTGCCTGCAACTACTTTCAACTTCACTGATGTCATCATGTGAAAGGCCTCACACTGGAAGACACTCAAAGATGGCGCCGTGGGGGCAGCTGGAGAGCCTGGCGGAGGCTCACTGACCTGTCCAATTTCTTCACCTACAAAACAAGGTGGGAACACTGGCAGCAACCATGTCCTACTGACTTACCCACAGAGAACCCATCCACAGAACCATGTCTGGCCCCGACAGGTATTCCTACCTCTTGAAGGACTCTGTGACTGACTTGAACTGGATAATACCCCTATGCTAGGCCCCTTCGATGAAAGTGTTGAAAAACCAAAGACAGCAGGACATAGGACGAGGATTCAGATGTTGCTGTTAGAGACTAATCCTCAAGAAGGGACACACAGGGAAATGGTAAGACTTGTGAGGGGAGAGGGTGCCTTCAATTTCAGGACTGCCCTTGGGATGTAGGTGTAGAGATTTCAGCTGAGACCCAAAAATAAAGATTTGAAGTACAAGAGGTTACAAGTATAAGAGGTAGGTTTGGGTGCCATGAATGTGTACGTATCATCTGGGACCTTGATGGAAAAGTCCAGACACTTGGGGGAGAATCACGATCAGGGCTGCTTCTCCTACCACATGCGCAGCATTTATCTGAATATGCCTACTTTCTGGGAGCAGTGTCCCAGAGCTCTCATTCACTCTCAGAGAGGTCTGCGATGAAAAGACAAAAAAGGAAAGATTAAGAACCACTAATGAAATACAAGAGAAGAAGGCCAACAGTGGAATTTCATCAAACACCCACACTGAAGATGAAAAAAATGGGGGGTGAGGGTGGGGAGAAAACAATGAAGAAAAGGCAGAGCGAGTGAAGGGGGGCTACGGAAACAAGCAAGGGAGGAAAGTGTTAGGGAAGTTCTAAGGAGGCATAATGTTAACTGCTTCTGCAGCACTTAAAACCAGAAGAGGACTATAAGGAAACCATCCATGACGCCAATGGCTGAAATGGAATAGTGAAGAATGTGACCAAATCAAAGAACATCACAAAGACTACAAATTTAGGCTCTTCCACCCAAAGACTGTAAACATCAGGGAGAAAAGAAATCTTCCTCTGAGTCCATCATTCCATACTTTACTTCAAGGGGAATCTTCAAGTGTCTGAGTCACTGAACATGTAAAACGTTTACAGTGTCTTTTAAAATTGCCCTCGGAAACACTTTACTAGAAAAAATAAAATGGTTAAACTAAAACACACTACAAAGATACTAAAATTAAAACAGTGTGGCAACAGCAAGCAAGGTAGAAAAGAGCAGACAGCTCAGAAATAGAGGCAAATACAAACTGTAACATGTTCATTTCAAATCAATGGGAGAAAGGATGCTGGGGTAAGGGATGATTCATTTGGGCAAAAATGATAAAGCTGCTTATATGCGTGGTTCTTTGGCGTATGAACTGATGGGATCGGAAGGGAGTTTAACCGCCACCATCTAACTCAATGAAGACCTATTTTCTTTGCTAAAAGCTTCTCCATTACACAGAGCCGTTAGGTGGAGTGGCCTCAAAGGTCACATACAGCTCACTGGGGTCAGAGGTGGAGCGTGGACTCCAAACCCAGGACTCTGCTTCTCAGATCAGGGAGCTGCAGGAAAGGGTTGGCATCCCGGTCATCCCAGTTTCGAAGCCCCACCCAAACCCTGGCAGGAGACCTGCCGGCGCCCGGGCCTCGGTCCTGGGCCTCCACGTCCCGCAGGGCTTTGCCAGGCTGGACGTGCCCGCGGGGGCCTCTCCCACCTCGAGGACCCAAGGACCTCGTGCCTGGTGACGTCCCCGCGACCCGGGCCGGGCCGCCGGCCGCCCGCCTGTTTTCGCTCCGGGGCGACAAGGGGGCCGGGGGGTCCCGGGTGCTCTCCCCGGGGAGCCCGCCCCGGGGTGGGGGGCAGAGCGTCGGGGGCTCCGGGGTGGTGACCTTGGGACCCGCCCCAGGGCCCCGTGGGGCTCAGGCCCGGCTCCCCGACCAGGCCCGACGCCTGGAAGCTTCCTGCGGGGCGCCCGCCCTCCGGCCGGCAGCTGCCCCGCGACCCCGCCTCCTGGCCCCACCGCCCGGACTCACTCAAAGACGTGCTCCGACGTCCAGATCTTCATGGTGCCGGCGGCCCGCGCGGCGTCCGGGCGGCGCCAGGGGACAACCAGGCCAGGCAGCCACACTTGCCCCCGCCCCGCCCCGCCCCCGCGCCCTGCCGGCCGCGCAGCGCGCAGGCGCCGTCGAGCCGGACGCCAGGGACGTCCCGACGCGCGGCCCCACGCCCTATCCCGGCCCGGGTTTTACCCCAGCCCTGCGCGCGGCGCAGCGAAGCCCCGCCCCCTAGCGCCGGGCGCAGCGCGCCGGCGCAGTTCCGGGGGCAGCGCCCGGGGCGGCGGGGGCGGGCGCTGCGCTGCGCAGGCGCGGCACGCGGCCGCCGGTCCGCCCCCTCGCGGTGTCGCCGGCAGCGTTGACCTCTGGGCAGAGTTGGGCCGCGTCCCGTTGGTTCCGGCCCTCCTCCTCCTCCCCCTGCCCGCCCGTGCCCGCCTGGCGCCGCGAGGCCCGTTGGCCTGCTCAGTCCTCCCACGGCGCGGACGTGCCGTCGGCGTTCTCGGGCAGTGCTCGTGACGCCCCTCGAGAAAATTCCTCCCGCCTCCCGCCTCGACCCCACTGTGGCGGCCCGGAGTCCGCTGGCCAGCCGGCCTCCACCGGCCCCCCAACGATGACCCTCCCCGGGGCGGGAGCCCGCGGGAAGGCGCCCCGGGAGGCTCGGTGCGGGGGCAGAGGGAAAAGCTCCGCGGCCTGGGCCTCCAGGGTGGGCCTTACCTCAGAAGTCGGCTTCCCTCCCCCAGACGGCAGCCCCTTCCCTCAGCTCCCGCCTCCCTGGGTTCTTCACCGCCGTCGGGTGGCGCTCACCACGCCCCACGCCCCGGGAGCTCCTTGTTTATTTGCTTAACTTCCACTTGAATATAAGCCCTTGCAGGCACGCATCTTTCCTGCCTTGCTCAATAACGTTCCTCAGTCCCTCATCTATAGTGAAGGCTCAGTTATTATTTCTTTCAAAACAGGAGTAATTATCTGTGGAATGAAGGGATTACTGAAATCATCCAGTTCAGCTGTTTAGTTTCCCCCAGACTGTCAGTCCCTGAGGGAGGGCGAGGCTTCACTGAGTCTCTCGTGCCCATGTAGTAGTCATTTGTTGCACAAATGAACAGCTGATCGTGGAGTAAGGGGGCAGGAAGGACTGGCAAGTGGTTTCAGCCACAGTCGAGCCCTGGTCCAGGGGGCAAACCGCCTGGTCCAGCTTTCAGGAAAAGGCCTCCAGCACCCCCCACCCTCCACAGAACAGTTTGCCATTTTATACCATGATTATGGAAGAAAAGGTTTTACACCTGGTTACTTAAAAGCTAGTGAGAAGCACCGCCTTGTTCTTGTTAGTTCATTTATTTGCTAAAAACAAATAAAAGCTATGTTAATTTAGGAGGGAGGATAATTTTTTATGATAGTCAAAGTTTTTTATATAGAAAAACAGAAAAGTTACATTAAATAGGAAGAAAATAATACAGTTGGGTAGTCGCTAAGTGCGGTTTGTGGTACCCAGACTGAAAAAAACTCACAACCTACAGTAGTTAAGTTCCTGGGGAGGTGATGGTCTCAGGGCTGCTGAGAGGGCCTCGGCCTTGATCAAGGCGTGAAGTTCACCTGCTGGAAGATAAAACACTGGTGCGGGGGCCACCCGCACAGAGCAGCCTGGCCCTGCTGCTCCTTGAGCTCTGCAAAGCGGTTCTGTTCACCATCCAGGACTCCTGTTTATTCTAGAGGATGTGTTCTGCCTCCTAGTTCAAGATTTCTGTTTTTTAAAGTTGTGAAAATGAAATGACACCCGTCTTCCTCCCCCACCCCCTGTATCAGTGTGTTGATTTTATTATTGCATCTGGAGTGATAGGGGTGGGGCCGTGGAAGGGTGGAGAGTTAGGACCCACCTGTCTTGCCTGTTTCCCCCTGATAGAAAGAATCCCAGTCTGTACTTGGGTTTGGAAAACAAGACCTTTGATATATATTATCTTCTGGAGATTCGCTTAGAAACACACAGAGGAGACAAAGGAATGGTTCTTAGATGCCTCACATGCATCCCTGCTGGGGCTTGCAGACACCAGGAAGTCATCAGCAGGTTATTAAGCAGGTGACTGCCCTTATGACACTTGCAGAGAGGATGACCTGTGCCGTCCAGAGAGGCCCACACCCTTCCCTGTGAGGGTGGGGGAGGACACAGCCGGGATTCCTATCAGCTTGGCACGTCACATCTGGCAAGGAACTGAAACTCAGGTAGAGAAAGCACTAGAAGATGTTTAAAGGGTGGTTAGGTGTTCAGAGCAGAGCCTTGTGGCCGGGGTCCCTGGGGTGGGTTTCACCGGAGGGGGAGTTCGAGGCAGAGGCAGATTTGTGGAAGGGCCAGAGGGGGTGGCACATGAAGAGGCAGGTGGAGGGCACAGAGACAGACTGAAGAGGATGAGGTCACGTGACCCGCTCAGCTGGGGCTCAGCCCCTTGTATTTCCAACCTCCCGTCATTCACCGGCCATCTCCTCATTTGCCCTGGCTTCAGGAGCCACAGCTACTCTACTTCATATTTGGTATGAGCTTCTTCACACATACACTTGAAATGAGACTGCATATACCTGCTGTCAACACAATGTCGTGTTTTTTCCTGATCTCTGCTAAATTCATGACTGTTAAAGGAACGAGTAAGCCCGGGGCCCCCTGATGTCTCTGCGTCCCCTCCAGGAGCGGCCCTTCCCGCTGTAAGGTCCACTTCCAAGCTGAACTGCTCTTTTGATTCCTGTCCATTTTCTTCAGACGTCAAGCTCACCTTTTCCTCTGAACATCTTAGCAGTGACCTTTACCTCTGAAGTCACCCTGACCTGCTTCAACTTCCCTCCCCTGGTCTTTAGAATGCCTCCCATCCTCAGGAATCCTCTCCTGAGTCTTCTGGATGCAGAGAACGTGGTCTCTCTCCTTTCCAGTCTTTTTGCCTTTGTTCTTTTCATTTTTTTCCTTCAACAAATGGGCTGACCAGCTGTTCTCAGCCTCCCTATTCTCCGGGAGCTGAGGGACCATTTTCTCTGGGGCCATTCGGCTCTGTCACATGGGAGGGAGGGAGGGCGCTACTGGCATCCAGTGAGGGGAAACCAGGGACGTCGCTAAACACCTTGTGGTGTGGAAAGGCTGACCCTGTGGTGCGGAAAGGCTGGCCCTGTGGTGTGGAAAGGCTGGCCCACACGGCAAAGCAGCACCAGCCCCAAGTCATGGGGTCGCCACATGCAGGCCTCATCCGTGGCTGGCAGGTGTTTAGATTCTGGCCCAGTCAGCCCACCTGGATCTTTAGTTCCCAACTCAAGTCACTTGCTGTCGCTCAACAGGCCACACATTTCCACACCCTTGAACTCTGTACACAGCGTCCTCTGCCCAGATGCACTTTCCCCTTTTCTATCCTGAGGAACCTTACTCACACTCTGGAATGACCATGCTCCATCCCCTGAGCGCCTGTCCCAGGTCGGCACCGGGAATTGCTTCTCTTCTGCACGCCTGCCAGTGGTTTACATTATCCTCCCACTGTGTGCATGCAAGAGCTTCCACGCACAGTGTGAGCACATGTGGAGACTCCTTAGTCTGCTGGGGCTGCTCTCACAAGCGCAACTGACCGAGTCAACTTATAAACAATAGGAATTTATTTCTCACAGTTCTGGGGACTGGAAGGCCAAGGTCCGTGGCCTTTTTCTGGCTTCTCAGCACCTTAGAACCTCACACAGTGGGAGGGGCCTCCTTCAGAAGAGAATTAACCATCCAGGAGGGTCTTCCTTCATGACCTCAGCACCCCCCAAAGGTCCTCAGTATCCCCCAAAGGTCCCACCTCCTGACACCATCACATTGGGCTTTAGCATTTCAGCAGCTGAAGTGGGAGGCCGGAGACAGAAACATTCAGGGCACAGCATCCTCTGTGTTAGTGGGATGAAGAGGTTCATACTCACACATATTGTATAGTACACTTTCCAGGGGGGTGGGGAAAATTATGCCAAAAACTAGCATTTGACTCATTCTATGTCTAAGAACTTGCATACTGTTAGCACTTGATCCTGAGTGTGCGCCGTGGGTACGTATTTATGTCTATATGACTATCAGAGCACGTGCACATGTAGCACTGCGTAATGCAAGGTATAAACTTACGGTCCTCATTTTGTGTCAATTTTCAGCACAAAGACTAAGCCACACTTTTTGCCTTTTATTATTATTATTACTATTTTTTAAAAAGAATATTTATTTATTTAAAAAAAGTCTTATTTATATTTTTCATTTATTTATTTATTTATTTATTTATTTATTTATTTATACAAGCACTGGGTACAGTCGGAAGCACGGGAGGGTGAGAGAATTCACCAGAGCCAGAGTGGAGAGTAGGACAGGCAGAGCGACGAAGTACACTGCTGAGGGGAGCAGCAGGCGGCAGGAGAGGTCTGTGCGCCATGTGGGACCCTCGTCCGGCAGCCAGGGATCGAAGTGGCGCTGCATACGCTGCGGGCAGCCTCGCAACCCGGCGCTCAACCGCTGCACCACCAGGGAGGCCCAAGAATTATTTATTTTTATACAGGATCTGGGGTATAGGCCAGAGGCGTGGGAGGGTGAGAGAATTCACCAGAGACAGAGTGGGGAGCAGAACAGGTAGACGACCAAAATACACTGCTGAGGGGAGCAGCGGGCGGCAGGAGAGGTCTGCTGCATCATGTGGGAATCTCCCTGGCTGGCCAGGAATAGAACCTGCACTGCAGAGGCTGCGGACAGCTTCACAGCACTGTGCTCAATCCGCTGCGCCACCAGGGAGGCCTATTATCACTGTTTTTATAAGAGCTGGGGTGTAGGCCGCAGATTCGTGGGGGAGCAGTGAGAGGATTCTCCAAAGAAAGAGTGAGGAGCGGAACAGGTGGATCGACTGAGATCCACTCCAGAGGGGAGCAGTGGGGAGACAGGAGAGGTCTGCTGGGCCATGTGGGTCAGCTCCCTGGCTGGGGATCGAACTTGTGCTGCATTGGCTGGCGATAGCTTCATAGTGCTGTGCTTAACCCCTTGTGCCACCAGGGAGGCCCCAAAGCTGATTTCTTAAAGTGAGTTCAGTCTATCAGCAGCTGCCCAGAGCCAGGCAG